GCATTCAAGCACCTGCTTTTGACAATCTAAAACCATAAAACAAGATAATCTAAGTTGCTGTTTCAGTGGACTAATTCATTATTTCATAAATAACAATGTTTTTCTGAGAATCTATGTTTTAAATTAGAGCCAAAAAAGAGAACTTTGACAGAGACGGTGAAATTATGCACCCATTTGCTGTTCCAGTCCCTTAAATGTAAGAGGAGATAATATCTTTAAGGCAAAATATTTTTATGTTTCCTTAATAAACATGATAACTGCAGGTAACATAGTGTTTTCACTTTTGTATTTTTTGTATTTCATGCCAGAAACTTTTCTAGTATAATCTGCTGTTGTTCTGCACTGAAGACTGATATCTGGGGTACTTTTTTACTTTCTGCTTTTCTCAAAGAAAGTTCAAAATGTGTTCAACACTATACACGTTCTTGATATCAATGTCCCCAAAAAACAGCTTATTTCTACCCACAACATAGGAAATCTGCACCTTCTTGGAAAAATATATCCATAACATAGGAAAGCCACACCTTTAAGATCAAGAGGCCTAGAAGCCTTGACGGTTACCTGAGATCAGCAATATTGAATATAAAGGTTAAAGGATGATTATCAAGTGTCATGAAACAGAAATTGTGACACTGAATATAATAAGCCAGTGTCAATACATGCATACCATCAAAACTATCATCCTATACTGATAATTATTACAGAGTAATAACCAGTGACAAAATAACCAATGTTATGCTCAAAATACTATTTTTCTATGAAAATTACAGTAAAGTTTAAAAAAAATATTCCTCCCCAGGAAGATATGCGAGGCTCATTTTGGAATTCAAAGCACCTTAAGATGCTAACCAAGTCAGAAATATTTCCAATGGAAATTAAACAAATTATGTTCAAAAATCTAGTTTTTCTATATAAATGATAGTCAACTTAACCCCATCCCCACGGGGAAATGTGAGACCCTGGGGCCATGAAATTCACAATTTTGGTAAATTACCCTAAGATGCTTCCATTCATGAAGAGTACTTGATTCTACCATATCTAGGTCTTGAGAAGAAAATTTTTGAAATCTGAATCAATTTGACCCCTTTTGGCCCCGCCCCTCAGTCTGCTGGGGGTGAAGACTGTGTTATTCACAATTTTGCTTCATCTTAGGCCAGGGAAGGTTTCTGCAAAATTTGATTGAAATGGGATCAGGGAATTTTGAGAAGAAGTTGAAAGTGTTAAATTGCTGAAGGACGTACGACACAGGACGTACGACACACGACGCATGACGCCGGATGAAAAGTATTAGAATAGGTCACCATGAGACTTTTTCTAAGGTGACCTAAAAAGCTATCAAGTATTTTAGATATCCAGATGTAGTCACCAATGTAAAAGTAACGGACGCCATGAGGCTACCATTAAGCATGATTACTGATATGGAAGGATGAAAACCTATGTTAGGAGACTCGATGACTAGAATACGTGTCTCCGATCAACCTATGGACATACTGTATTTCTTTATATCGGAATCTCGAGGTGCTAATGTCGCATCCGATATAGTAGTTTTGACTGAAATCTATCAATTATTGATCTCAATATAGACAGACAAACAGAGTAACGATGTTAGAAGACTCAATGTTTCTATGTTCGTGTGATTAAAAGTGTTTCTAAATCTTTTTTCTATGTCACAGTTGCCAGCCTCTCCTGGGCAATACTCAAATTACACTTTCTACACAGACTTTACACAGATACCCTTTATAATTATTAGATAAACCTTGAATTTAAGTCTATAAAATTTTTCTGTGAAATCCAATTGACTCTAAATGCAACTGCTAATGTTTCTTTAATGCCTGTTTGAGATAATATTATCTGGTATGGAGATATCTGTAATTCAGTTTTATTTGTATTTCAAAATACTGAGGATCTCCTGCAAAACACACATCCTATTAAAAAGCCTATAATTTACCAATTTAAAAGAATTCAAACAGAAAAGAGTATCTTTCATTTTTTTTATTTTTTTTTTTCAATTCTGTTTCCTATTGCTACAAGTTTTATATGCAAGTTTACAAGAACTGATATCAACTTTAAAATTAGTTTAATGACAGTATTTGTGTGTATGATATATTTCAAAACTTGTATGAAAATTACAATATGATCTTAGTAATTAACTTACATTTTAAAACTGAAACTTCAGATAACTGTAAAAAGGTTGAAGAAGAATTTTGATGGCAAATAGAATATAATGTGTTTAAAATTTTGTTTTAAATCCATATCAAAACATATCTCAAACAGTATGTACAGGTTTGAAATTATCCATACACCAAAGAAATAGCTATGAATATTTAATGATTGGTATCAATCACACTCCTTTTAGACAATACAAATAAAACATCACGAACATTATCTAAAATGTTCTCTGTATTTTCATACTGTCAAACTTCTATGAATTGAACTTCAATGATTCAAATACCTCCATGTATCAAAGTTTTTGTCCGGTCCCAAATTTTATTCCTATATTTTACTACTAACTTACCCCTTTATGAATCAAAGTTTTATATATCAAAATTTTTCGATGTATCAAAGTTTTTTCACAGACCATAAGCTGTGATAACGTAGTCATTGTCACCTCAAGATTCGAACAAAACGTTTACCTGTACTGTACAGGTATTTTCGCCCCATGGCAAAAATATTACACATTTCAAAGTAGAGTGCTAACTGACAATGGGATTACGATAGCCCACTATCATTAGCTCTGTACTACAGGGTTAATTAATGACTGGACATAGATTAAAATTTAACTGCCTACTTACAGGCCATGATATTTAATCAAAGATAATAGGATGTCGTTTGATGATCACCATCGCCATTGTGGTGATGGCATTTAGGTAGGTCTAATTTACAAAATTTTAGAAAAAAACAATCGGAGGAAATCCTATCACTTGTTTGATGATTTCACTCATTTCGAAAGTGTCACTTTTTAGTTTTAAGTATAAAAGCACGACAGTCATGGTGATTTATCTGTCAATCATGCATTCTCTGATTGATTCAGGTTAGCCATCGTCAGAACATCGGCAAACACTTGTGTAATTTCTATGGCCAAAGAAGTGTGATGTTAGTGCTGTTGTTTCTGGACAGAACACATTATGGTGTTAATTTGTTTTCTTTTGAATTCATTAGTGCCTATAACATCTATGTACCTGTCTTAAAACAATTAATAAAACATGTGAAGACCACCTGCTGTGCGTCATTTCATTCAAAATCACCCCGTAAAATGCATATACTGTGTGACATGAAGGATCAATTTCTCATTGATTTCTATCTAAAGTTATGTTTTTTTCATTAAATGAAAATGTTTTGTTTAAAGATAAAAATGCATCTTTTTTTATTTAATCTTGTATGTTGGTATTTTTTGTGTTTGTTCAGGTAGAAATATCATGTCATTGTTTTCATGTTCATGGCTTGATGTATCAAAGTGTTTTTAAGTCCCTTGAACTTCAAAACATCGAAGTTTGAGTGTAATTCAAACGATTTACATTTCAAACTTCAGACAAAATAACCAACTTCTTTCTAACAAACTAATAAATTATCTTGAAATATTGCTATTTTTCAGCAGGATTCATTGGAATTTTAAAAATTTTATGTCTAAAACTTATGGTAAAAATTGCACCTTCCTTACGATGATGTAAATATTTTTTCTATGTTTACTTATGACCAGCTTACTGCTTAACATGTAGGACACTTTGGATTTTCCTGTTTATGGTTGATACATGACATCAAGAACTCTGTATCAGCAAAAATCCACCAAGATAATCAACTACAAAACTTTAGACAATATAAATGTGTACTCAAATCTATTTCCTAGTCCTGTGTGGTCAGTGGTTAATGGTCTGTGTATAATGCGTTCTTTATTTTAAAAAGTCAGAGTTTGAACATAAGAAAATAGGTTTACCAGCACCAAAAAACTAGTTTTTTATTTATTTGTTTTCATTATACCTCCTGCATCATAAAACAAAATCATTGTGACTTGATAAAACACATTTTATGACTGTGAAATACTGATTTCATTTGATGGTCAGAAACATTCATTTCTCAAACTGTTTCATAAAGAGATAGACATCACAGACATTACTTTTACTGTCTACCCTTTAAAGACATTACTGCACCTGTTCCCTATGAATTGTCTTCCCCACTGACAGACATTACTGCACCTGTTCCCTAAGACATGTCTTCCCCACTGAGAGATATTGCTGCACCTGTTCCCTAAGACATGTCTTCCCCATTGAGAGATATTGCTGTACCTGTCTCTCCATTGAAAAGCATTGCTGCACATGTTTCTCTGAGACAAAAGTCTCCCCTACTGGGAGACAGAAAGTGCAAGCGTTTGTGTGGCCCTTATCTGCCTCCTCCTACCAAGGTATAGGACCATGTAGTGCTAAGTCCATCACATGCCAAAATTTCTGAAATTTATTTTGGATATTTGTTTTTAGAAACCAAAAAGATTTTGCCAGCTTGAAATCCACAAGCTTCAACTTATCACACCTATAAAAAGAGAGTGTTTTATACTGTATTAAAGTTTTGTTGGCAAGAACAAATATTTATCTTCGAATAAAACTCTGGATATTTGCTTCAGGTAGTGGAATGAGTACAAACACAGAGTATATATAGATATACTCATAATGTCGGTACAGACAGGAAATATTGGTAAAGGATCTCAATTCCTGATTGATACACAGCTGACAAAAAGACTTCATGCTTTTTAGAAGTTACTACATTTACCTAGCCCATCCATCATTCACGAAGCATGTCTCCATTTTAATTGTGTAATTCCACTGATAAGCAGCTATTTGATTGGTGAAAACATGCTGATTTAAAAACTTGAAATAGGCCAATGACGAATTCCTGATCATTCATCAATCAAAACTAATAACTAACAGAGGTTTAAATGTGTTACATTTGACAGCCAGCCAGGATTAATTTATAGCAGGTTGTCCATGTAGGCAGTGTGTATGATAACTCACCTTGGGTCCATGTTGAGATGTTGCTTTGATGTTTTCCCAGGTGTACCAGATGACCCCATCGTGGATACACAGTCAGTTCATACACAAGATTGTCCGAAGAACTGTCTCGGTCATCACACTGTAGGATGCTACTATCAAATTTGAAGCCCCAGCCCCCTTCTTCTAAAGGGGTAAGGGTAGTCCCACCTAGGTTAACAGTGAGGTGGGGTACAGCATTATCCACTGGTAGTATCTCGATTGGAAGGGTCTGGGGGTGACGAAGGGGTTGTTCGGTGTCTAGAAAGACGTAGAATTCACTATGGGTGCCGTCCGTCACGGTGAAGGAAATACTGTCCGAAAGCGTTTCCGAACCATCATGTTGGTAACTGATTTTGTTTAATTCAATGTCCTCTTGCGTAAACGTTGTCACAATTCGTGAATAATCATAGAGGATATTGCCATGAAGAGGGATCTGTGTTAAGGTATACTCAATACTACCACTTGGGGTATCCTTATCAATGGTTTTCAGCTCGAAGGGCGTAATAATCTTACTTGCCCCTTCCATGACCAGAAGGGTGCCAAACATCAGCACTGGTTTCTTGTTGTCAACATCCGTCAATGCAATACGGAACATCCTGGTCACAGGATTATTGCCATCAGTCACCTCAAATTCAAATCTATCCATCTTGACTTCACTTTTGCTTGTGTGAGTGTAACGAATTTTGTAACCTGCTAAATCAAGCTGTGTAAATGAGGTGATAGGTACCCCAGGATTGTCCAGATTCTCCAGGTAACCATGCTGGGGTACATTGGTGATGGTGTATACAAGATCTTCATCTGGAGAATTGGAATCTCTACTGCTGATGATGTCAGTAGTTAAAATCACGGAGCCTCCCTCTGGCAATCGTACACCTTTGTTAATTACCTCTGGGTAAGTAAGATCCAACCCAGCAACGGTCACATAGAAATAGCGGTCGACAAGAGGGTTCAGACCATCTGTGATCTCAAATTTGATGATGTCTCTTCTGCCTTCCAATCCTGTGTGAATATAGAATACACATTGATTGTCAATGTCAAATTGGGTGAACTTTGAACCCAAAGTCAAGTTTTGTGGTGGTAATCCGACCTTATCCAACAGCAGTATTCCTTGTTTCGGCATGCGGCGAATTATGAAAGTGATATTCAAATCAGGAGAGTCCAAATCTTCTGCTCTAAGAACCGAATTGGAAATAATTTTCTTTTCCCCTATTTTGTCTATTTCTAGTCCAGTGTTGACCGATAATCGGGGCGTTTCATCATCTACAGGAATAATGGCTATAGGTATTCTCTTTGTCACGTTAAATCTGCCATCAGTCGCCACCAATTCAAATGTGTCCTCGGTTGTTTCTGTATCGTCATGTTTGTACATTATATTGGATGATCCATCTATGTCCGTCATTGAGAATCGGCTGACAGGAAACGTACCTGCTAGGCCCCGTTGTTGTAATATCTGGCCATGTTTTGGTGGAACTGTCACAATAAAAATGATTTCGTCCGGTGGAACATCCTGATCAACAGCTGTCAAAATTGGGGTGTCAATTTTCATTTCTAACCCTTCCATCACTACAAATTCTCTGTCAAAGACCTGTGGAGGCTCATCATTTGTAGGGTATATAGAGAGGCTGAAATTGTATTCAGGTGACGAGTTGGTACCATCAGAGCAGTAGAATGTAAACATATCATGATATTCCTCTACACCCTGGTGAATACTTTGTACATAATTGATATTACCTACACGCAGTTCCTTGATGAAAAATGAGGTCACTGGCATCCCTACCCTAGATTTTTCCGATCCTGGAGCTGGGGATGTATTCTCTATATAACCATACTGAGGCTGAACTAACACAGTGCACTGTAATTTCTCGTCAGCAGAATCCTCATCCATAGCGTCCAGGTGGCGTGGTAGTAAGGCCTCCTTCTCGCCTTCTAAAACACCAAACTGGGCACCCAACAGCACATTTGGGGGTTGATTGTCCACTGGCATAATATTGACAACCACTTCAATTTCTGCCACCCTGTTGCCTTCTACCATAAAGTTTCTTGAACGATCTGATAGAATAAGTGAGAACTGATCTCGACTTTGGGTTGCCCCAACCTCCCCTCCGATGTGATGGTATTCTACAACACCATCCTGTAGATCTTGTTGGGTGAAATCTGTAGCTCTTTGTCCAGATCTTTTAATTACTCCCCTTGTCGGAGCATTTTCTATCATAAATATCAATGTAAGATCATCAGAATCAGGATCAGAAGCTCGGAATCTATCAGCAGCCAGACTCACAGACTGACCTTCGTAAACCTCCAAATCTATCTCCATGACATTTGACAGTGTCCCTGTTAGAACAGGGGCCTCATCATCTACAGAACGGATATTTACAATAAACTGCACTGGAATGAGATGGGCACCATCACTCAACTCTAAGGCGAAGGAGTCACTTTCTGCTTCCTCTCCAGAATTGACATAGATAATTTTCTGACGATTGATATCATGTTTGTTAAATGAATCCCCAACAACCAGTGTCTGCTCGCCTTTTTGAATTTCACCGTAGTCTGGTAATGACGACACAATAAAATGAATATCTGCATCATCTGTATCTGGGTCGATGGCATTTAAGTTTTGTGTGGTCAAAATCACCATTCCATTTTCTAATACGGTTGCCCCGGTGTTGGTAACTCTTGGTGGCTGGTTGTCAATAGGCTGAAGTGTGATGGTGAAACGTTGATCAGGAAGGACGTTACCATTGGTGTCCGTCACAGAAAACCCAAACTGGATAATCCTTGCTATGATACCAAGCTCAGCACTGGGTGGCTGGTAGCAAACTCTCTGGTGATTTACCTGCGACTGTGTAAACGTTGTGATGGGAACACCCGGATTCTCACAAAGAACAATGTTACCAGCACTCAATGGGGTGTTCCGATCTGTATCATATAAAGGAAGCGTAACTCTGTACTGCAACTGACGATCATTGGTGTCGTCATCGGTATATCTTAGCTGTTTACGCTTGATTGTTGTCATCTGAAATTCTTCCACTTTCATTTTAAGTTTAGTGTTCATATGTTGATACGGAGGCTGATCATCCAATGGAAGAATCTGGACTACAAACGTGTATGGTTGGAACGACTTGTTGGGTGGAACGTGTCTGTCCTCCAATGTGAATTTGATGTTATCTGTGACATAAGATGTTCGAAGAGATGCCGTGTGTTTATAGAAGACTTTGCCATCAAGAATATCCTGCTGAGTGAACTGGTTCACCACTTGTTCATACACACCGTTATTATAAAGCCAGTTTTGTGGGTCCCTTGGAATTTGGAACTGTCGCAACATAATTTTACCATTTTTGGAATAAGGAGGCTCAATTATGAAACTGATCACTGAATCATCACTATCAACATCTGTAGCACTTAATTTAAATTGAGAAATTTCTGCTAACTGATTTTTATAAATTTCTAAACCTGTGTTACTAGTTACAAATGGCGGCTCATCATCTTCCGGATAGATTGTAACAGGGAAGAGAAACTCCACATGGTGTTGACCATCTGTCATCCTGAACACAATATTATCACTGTTGGTGTCACTGTGGTCATGTTGATAAACTACCCTACCCTTATCTAAGTCGTCCGGTGTGAAATATTCTCTGTCACCTGGAATCATTAATTCACCATGTCTTGCCCCATCTGCTTTAAATATTTTCACTTTTTCTAAATTGTTCTCATCTGAGATCCTAAGATTTTGTGAACTAAGAAGCTGTCTTGATTGCCCTTCGAAAAGTTGTATTCCAGTATTGAGAGTCACTACAGGAGCAAGGGTATTCATAGGATTTACTACAATCATTAGTGGGAATGGGTCAGATTTTGCTCCGTCCAAATCCACCACCTGGAATTCTATTGTAAATGTTCGGGGATTATTAGCATCTATAGATGGAGGTTTATATGCTATTTTAAGATCAATAACATCTCTTTGATAAAAGGAATGGAGAGGTTGATCTCTATCGTCTGTACTTACAATATGACCCTGACCAGGTCCCAGAGGTCCTGTAATATTAAAAATTAATAATTCCATTGGTGTTTCTAAATCCTCTGCGGCTAGAACTGCTGGAGGAATTGCAGTCATTACAAATTGGTCCACAGCATTACCGTTACTGACTTCCATAACTAGGAATGCATTAAAAGATGGGCGGGGATTACGGTTTGTCCGAGCACCGGTCACCATAATTACTTTATGGAAATACTCTTGTTTCATTACTGCTCCATCCTCATCTAACAACTCAACTACCATCGGAATATAGTCCTTGTTTGGAGAATTGTTTTTGTTGGAGTATCTGTATTTTATACCCATTTGTAAAAATTCATCACACTCAACATCTGACAGAATAGTAGTACCATTTGCTACTATTCCAAATCTCGGAAGTCCATTTGATGTTGCTATGACAGATACTCGACAAACCTGGTTGGCTCTATCATAAGTAAATTCTGTATTTTTCCTGTTAATTGAATTAGAGACAGCATCAACAGAGGCTGACAGAGGGATGTTATTAGTGACAACTTCAAGCTGTACAAACGTGACAGTTACATGAACAGTAAACGGAATTATGTGAGATTCAGTATCAGATTCGTATCTGAGAAGCATCCTGATTGTGTCCTCCGTCGGTACACGTGCTCCAAAGTGCGTATACTGCACGTCCCTCGGTCCAAACGTGCATGGAAAGTGATCGGACGGGAGAAGTCTCCCCGGTCGTTGGGACAGAGGGTCATTGTCCAGTACAGAAATGACACACCTGTGGCCAGGTCTTACCGACAATCGTAACTCGTTGACTGGGTCCACGTACACGGTCCGTCCGAAGGGGACCTGTATCCCTGTGTTGACAATCAGTATGTCGCCTTTCTCTAACGACGTCTGAGAACACACAATACACAATAAAGCAGACACAATGAATGCTGCACAGGTGTGACTTGTAAGTCCCGTGCCCCCGAGTCTCACTCCAAAAGGGGCCATGGCACCCTATTAACTCCACTCAGCATTAAGGAAACGCACACGTTCTGTCGTCACCCAACACAGGTAGAAAGTTACAGACCATCTTCTCTCACCTTCCCGAGTTCACTGTGTGACAACAAACCTCGAGAGTCAACAGGCCGTGACGATTACTTCCGGGTGAGGTACGACGATTCGTATACACGATCATCCAAATGTGTCAGATATCACTTTACGCGTGCGAGACGTATCAACTACACGTGCACGTCTATGAGATGGCTCGCTAGTTTGTTGTAATCTGCTGTGCTGCAGTGAATGGCCTGGCCCATAATATTCGTCAGCTTAGCACCCAACGTACTTATTTCTCTGCGGAGCAGCACTGTTTACCATTGTGAAGTGGTCTATTGTAAACAGTGGGGCGGTACTTACCCAATAGTTGTGAGCTCGCGTGTTTTGTTTAGCCTACAAGGTAATTGTCGGTGAATGTAAAACAAACATAGTTATACAAGTAACGGATCGTCTCGAGAAGTGAGCTCATTGGTTAGTCGTTCCGTCAATCAATTGTTATATCAATCACGATCCTGAATAACCTCAAGCATATGTCAGCCTAGCCTGCACACGTGATACAAGCACTGATTGCATATGTATTCGATGTACGTTATTGTAAAATTTCAACAGCACACTACATTATAGCTACCTGGTAATGTCCCCATATGCCTCCACAAGGGTTTCTGAAGCGATGTTCTAAGCTATACCTAGCACAGCGAATTTCACAGAACTTTTTATACAGTATAATGAACTTTTTAATAAGAGCGTGTATTCAAGTCCTGGTACTTCAAGATTCAAAGTTTGAATGCCATCCTTCATACATGTTCTAAGGACAACATTTAAAGAAATCAATGGTCTTTCAATTTTCTTTTTAAGGAAAAAAAACCGCATTTTTTTTCATTCTAAATTTGAAATTATATATGCAAACGTGTACATTAAGTTCAAAAGATAACAAGCCATGTGCAGAGATGTTTTACATAAGTCTCTGCCAGGTGTTGATGAAGCAGAAAGGTTTTTTTTAACTTAAAAAAATCACCTAAATGGACTGTTTTCTGGTTTTGTGTCTGAAATGCTTTGATAACATTCTGGTGCTGTTGTTTCTAATCTATGTTAAAAGTAATCTCTGATGCCAACTTTCCTTTTAAAGGCCATACAACACTAGATCATTGCAGTTACCTCCCTTCACTAATCCTAGCAGTGCACAATTGTCAAAATGGCTGCAGCTATACTAAAGGTGCAGCTTTGTGACAATGCCAAACGCAGAATGTAAGATGCTGTATGAAAAATCTTCAATAGAAGATTAACGGAGGGACATGCAAGTTCAGATTTTATCTGCATTTCTCATTGATAATAAAAATAACAACACAATGCAGTGTTATGCTGATGGAGTAGTGGACTGGTCGTCCATTACATTTATTTACATTTCATAAAAAGACAACCAGCCTCACGCTCGCTACACTAGCATTACTACATACATAACTAAAATAGACAGGGTTAGTAGGTCACGGCCGGGGTCAAGCACATCCTCCGATCTGAAACCTCGCGCACAACATCAGCCCTAATGACAACTCTCACACCGGCCTTTGGTCAGCTAAATAATGGGAGACTTCTGTTTTCAGTTAGCTTAGTAGTGGGTGACTTTAACTATAATATAATATGAAAAACTCGCCACAAGATCAGATGCCAAACTGTGATACAATACCGTGGCATCACACCAAAAAGTCGGACCCCATACTGTGATACAATATTGTGGCATCACACCACAAAGTCAGACCCCAAACTGTGATACAATATTGTGGCATCACACCACAAAGTCAGACCCCAAATTGTGATACAATATTGTGGCATCACACCGCAAAGTCAGACCCCAAACTGTGATACAATACTGTGGCATCACACCACAAAGTCAGACTCCAAACTGATACAATATTGTGGCATCACACTTTTACAGTAATTGGTGATTCAATATAAGCTGTTTAAGGCGACATTACAATTTATTTTCATTCTGAAAAACTCAAAGGCCATGTAAAAAGATAATATATATTTCTTGACTTTTAAGTTGATTTAAAAGTCACATTATTAAATAATAACAGAGCAATTCAGTGAATATTATATCCCATTAAAATTTGTATGTCCTATGCATTGATTACTGGTCAGGTGTAAAATAACCACTGCTACTTAAACATGTGTATCTACACTGGCCACAGTTACAAGAGTACAGAGAGCTGACCATAGGCTCTAACACACACCATGCTCTCAATATGGATTCCTGGAGCACCCTGGCCAGTAATGGTAGCACACCCAAAGGTATGATGTGATTTACAGAAAAAAATAATAAAAACAAAAAACGCTATCTGTACTTCGCAATTTTTGATTAGAGCTATTCTGTCTAAAATGTTTCAAACTCCATAGAAGGCATCTTGTTTTCTCTTAGCTGGCAGACCTTTGGGACTCAATCGCTCTAGTTACCATTAATTTGAGTCGACTGATATTAAGACAAAAATATTTATATACATCTCGTGCCACGATTATGTCGATGGTAGTAGTGAGGCTCCTAAAACATGGCTGTCTTTGAAACTCATTTTTTAACCTAAACACTGTAAGTTTTAAGAAGAATTACAAAAGATGAACATTTTTGTATTAATCTAACACCCTTCCCCTAGTTGACAGTCTGTTCTGCATGGATATGCAGAGAATGTTTGGATACTGAGATATTTCTGTTTTAACACCAAACTCAGCGTAAGCACCCAACCCATAAACCCTCTCCAGGCCAACCAGTATTAGTTCTGCTCTCATAGCATCCTTAACTATTAAAACATCATTCTGTTTACAATCTCTTATAAAAGTCACTTCTGAGACTGTGACTACAACTCTACTAGACTAACAGTTAGTGGACTAACCAATGAAATCCGACAATGTTGTGTGGCAGTTCTAACCACATTGACAGGAAGACATTCCATATCTAGATGACTGCATTCTCACAGATGAGATAAGCATAATACAAAATCACTTTTTCCCTTCATAGCATTGTCCACACTTTGGACAAAAACTGTTACATGTTGGGGAGTTACTACAGTAAATCACTTCAAATTTCACAAACAGCTCTTTCAATGGCAGAATTGTGAGAATTTTAATGTGCACAATGAACATCAACAGTTCTAACTGTTATCCAATAAATATTTGCAACATGTTCGAATTGGTAGCTATTTTCATGAATGAATGTGAAAATATAAATGTGTTGAGAAATCGTAAGTGATTTTCTGTATGGTTTACTGCTGCCTTGATATACAACGTCACAAAACAAAATCATCACAGTCACACCTACTAACTGCCACATGATAGTGGCCCATAGGTTATCAATCATAAAAACATCTCAATATTTACCATATAGTAATGATTTAATGATGTTGAAATAAAAAAGCTTAATGATTTCACAAAATGTTATAGTTAAAAAACTTTTTCCTTGGCAAAAATTCAAATTAAGACAATGTTATAGATTGACAATGGTAATTTTTTACCACTTAATTAAAAACAAATTTCTTTTGAATTTCAATTTTAATGATTTTTTCACACATCTTCCAAAACCTGAAAGCCCTAAGGGTTCAACATACACCATTCTGACCCATAACCTTTCGTAAAATCCACACATAAAACAACTTGCTCACAACTTGTGAAGGGGAGATAACTCTGCATTTATAAACAAAGCACTTTTCTCAGCCGAGTTAACGTCCTCTTTTGTCAAGAGGCTGATGATGGCTAGATACAGACCAAGCCAGATAAAAATATGACACATTTCAGAGGAAAGCAAGAGATCCAAATTTCAGTATTTTGTTTTGTCAACTAATATATTTTTTTTTAGAGTAGAACTTCAAACTATCAAAAAATGCATACAAATGGAAAAGTTTGTTGATGAAACAGTGAACACAATTCAGAGTGTGATCTGTCATAAACTCTTGCTTTTCTCCTTTCAATTTACAAAATACTTAAAATAATACAAAATTTATTGGACCTGATGAAAGGCCAAATGAAGTACACATTAAATACAAAAGTTGTAAGCAGCAGACTGACAATATTGTATGTACAACACCATGGTATGACAGATAATATCTTCCTATGTACAGAAATTTAAAAAAAATATAATAAATCTGACATCAATGATAAAAAAAAAATTTTTGCAAAAAAGGCAGAAGTGAAAACAAATACAAATGATACTCCAGAGCAAAAACAGTGATTCTTCACATCTAGATCCAATATAAATACGACAAAATGAGAAAATGATATCATACAAAATCACTTACTCCTTCAACCCACAATAAGTTTGTTTAAACAATCAATTAAAAGATATCAATGTATGGGAAGTCTAAAATATTACACTATCCTACATGGTGTTATCAATACAACATCAAACAAAAACACAATAGGAATATTACAGATAAAATTACTCACTCAATTATTATTCTAAAATTCCAAAAAGCTTAGTTCATAACAGATGCCAGAGCAAACTCTGTGATTAAAATGAAGATACAGAGATTAAAAAAAATTACAGAATGGCACAATCTTCAGGGAAAAAAAGGTATGAAGTTAAAGATAAATACCCTTTGCCAAATTCATCCAGAATCTTAAAATACATCAATTGATGAATCTAATCTTTTGTAAAAAGGTAGGAATTATAATAACATTTCAGTTTGTCATATCACATATGATTGTTAGAAGTGTTTTGCGATATTAGACATCAATGGGATACAAAAATATGCTGGCCTCTGACAAACTCCAAAAAACTTGTCAAATTTATATATATGCCCTCATTTCAGATTTGATGGAATCTATTACGTAACGGGTTAAACAGAAAATGTAGGTCAATTTGACTCATCTGTGGTGTAACTACACATGAATAACAACATTGACGACTGTAGATTAACCACAAATATTAACATTACTCCCTGTCAAACAAAAACTTGAAGTTAAAGGTGCTGTCAGGGAGTTTTTGCCGGTCATTTGTGAACGGGGCATCTTTTTTTTATCACACTGGTACACACCAGTTTAAAGATTAGAATGTATACAAGCACTCTAGTGATCAAGATAATAATTATAGTGAAACTTTTCAGTGACCTGGATGATATATGGACAGAGGGCATCCACTTCACCAATCACAGTCATACACAGACAGGACTCAACAAAAAGAATGCAAAATATACATTCACAAAGGTCAAAGGTCATAAATCCTGCTAACATCTTAGATATGATTGTCAACATCACTTTTCTATGTCTCTAAAGCATGATTAAATTGTCTGACATCTTGTATCCTGTGTTAAAACAGAGGGATGAGTATGACAATTGACCTACATGAATAATACATTAGCAACTTATATATCACAATCAAGTGTATACATTGAAATTAAAAAAAAACATCCCATCTGGTCAAAGAAACTGAAGAAAGTTAAAATGGAAACACTGGTCATTTCATCGAATCCCTCCAAATCTTGGGATGTTCAGGGAATGGACTGACAAAGCTGCATTTGTTACTTATTGCACATCCAATAAAGATCATTTCACAGTACAAAAATCTCTCCAAAGAACACCAGGTTCATAAAAGATATCACAGGACAAAAGGCTCAAAAACCACTTTTGATGTTAAAGTTACGTAATTGACCATAAAATACTTGGTGGGTCATGGATATCACACTATTCCTATGTATCTTTTCTGATTCTATTAAAATCACGACAAATCTGAATCATATAGAACTAATCGTAATTACATCGTTTTATAATTTTTCGTGTTTTAGAGAATATTTAAAAGACAGAATAAAACAAAATAAAGTATTTTCAGTTGGAATTTTAGAACAATAAAAGCAGCAAAGCAAATGAAAAAACTCAAGTGATTGAAAAGAAAATTGATTTGGATTTAAAATCATTAAGTTTGAGTATTGGGCAAGCCTGTGTTTTACTGCATGGAGGAGAAATTCTCGAACAAGTTATATGATATAAGGTCTCAGATAACGATAATTTATATGATAATATTGTATGGGTTTTTGACAGATGTTTTGGAGTGAAGTTGTACATTAAAATACTCTTATTTTCAAAATAATGAATTTATTCTTGACCTTGTAAATCATTTATCTGTTTTCATAATTGACACCTGAGCTATCCATTAAACATGCCAAGAGAAAAACAAACAGAAGCATTGAAGTTTTCAAGAAACTGGCAAAAACCTGTAACACTACAAGAGCAGCACTCACCTGGTATTTATGTACCAGCCAAATATCATGGCCTGTTAGTTTATGAGTAGAATTTTTTAAAGGTTTTCACAAATTTGACCCCTGTGACCTTGAATATAACTCAAGGTCATTTCTTTTCGCAACTTTGTTGGGCTTCATCCTGGGAGCATTACTAGCCAAATATCATGTCTCTAGGCATTTTAGTTCATGGCAAGAAGTCATTTAAAAGCGTTAATAAATCTGACCCCTATGACCTTGAATGTAGATCAAGGTCAAACTTTGTCTGGCTTCATTCCAGGAACATGCCAGCCAAACATCAAAACATTTGGTCCCTTGGTAATGAGAAGAAAGTATTTAAAGGAAGCGACGACGGTTGGTCAACGGATGCTGCACCACAACATAAGCTAACTTGACCCTTCTGGCTAGGTGAGCTAAACAAGAGGCACATTGGCCGTAACAGTCATCTGACTATAAAGACCTATATATATGAAAGAGACAAAATAGACCTAAACTAAATTGTTCAACTTCTCTACAGCTTACATAGAAGACATGTTGGTTCATTAAGACAAAAGCAAAAAGGAAAAAAAGCAAGCTACTGGCTCAATATCAAGACTCTTGGCCTTTCGGTTATTGAAAAGAAGCTGTTGAAGCATTTTAACACAATGACCTGTGACCTTGAAATTTTGTCCAATATCAGTACCACTTGCCTTTTGAGAAGAAGTCATCTTGGTTGAAATCCTTTCAAGTATTAATAAGGAACAGCATTTTGAAGCAATATACTGTCTTATTTTCCGTTTTGGGGCCCAGCCCCAAAGTCCCTAGGGTTGAATCAAATTTGTGAAGCTATGAAATAATTGCCTACCCTAACTGATAAATCGGGCCAAAGCTTGTTGAAATCCACAAAGACAGAAAGGAGGAATAGGGTTTTAAATCTAATTTCAGCACCTCCCCCATTTGGGGCCCCTCAGGTTCAAATCAAAATTCTGAATATAAGAAATGACTACTCTCACCGAATGATGCATCAGACAAAATTTGGTTGAAATCCATCCAGATATGAAATAGAAGTAGGGTTTTAAAGAAGAAGTGTCTGCACAATAAATGATGAAGGACGAAGCACAACGACTATTGGTCATTTTGACCCGATGGGTCAGATGACCTAAAAACACAAATATCCATCAATCTGTGGAACATTTCTAATATAAAAAAAAAATTTTAAATGTTTAACCATGGAATACTAACTGAGAACAAAAAGTCTTTCCCATTTATACACTGTTGTTTTTAAACATTCTGGAAATATTTTTATATTTGAATGTGCCTTATGCAAAAATCATTTTCGGTTAGTGTTAAAATCTAATGAAACTATCATTTTGTTAATAATTTCTATGTCATCTTGAAAGGAAAACAAAATAATATATGCTCATAAAAACTTATCTATAACTTTGTGATTCATCAAGTAAACAATATCAGGGATTGGAAAATGCAGACTTTTAAGTAAGTAAGATTGTAAGTACTGAGCAGTTCCAATAATCAAAAATTTATTTCAGTAGTAGCCAAATTTTCATACCACTGACTTCTATTAAGTAATTACAGCAACAACTCAGCACAATATGTTTCATGAATTCTTATAGAAAAAAAAAACAATAAAATTCTGTCAAGAGATATATACAACCAGAATTTATAGTCATCTTCAACCCATACTAGAAAATGCTTGCCAGTTCAACTTCTGCACTTTTATTTTAAGCAAAAGAAACTTGCTGATGTAGACTTATATTGGTACAGGGTGTTGAAAGTGACACCAGGAAAAATTTTCACCAGAATTGAAGGCTATGAGGAAGATGTCTCACTATATATCAAATATTTTACATGTTTTAGGTTAAAATCTCAATCATAAAATAAGAAATGAAAAGTATGCTTACCTACACAGAATACTTCAGCAAAACAATAGCAAAAATCAAAGTAACATTTGTTTCTAACTCTACTCTAGTATCTTATCACTTAAAATGTTGTGACTGCTGTTGTTTGGGTAGCTTACACTTGTCCGCTGTCCTTATCCGTGATGTATGATACCAAGGTTTTAAAATATCAAACATCCCGAGAGAGAAGTGTGGTACAGAAGGTTGTTACATGCCAGGCTGTTTTACAGTGGTAGGATACTAGATAAGAAACATTTACAGACACAAGTAGACATACAAGTTTCCAGGATTACGTGAATGACCCCGACTTAGTTTAAATGTCCCATGCCTAATTACAAAAATTACATTTCAATGATTCATGAGTGAAAATACTACAGTGATGGATTGTTTAGCAGCAAAAGTTACATCTTCAAGGTATTCAAAAATATCTATTACATGTAACAGACATGTATGAGCATGAAATTTTACTATAATTAAAAACAAAATAACTATCAGAAAACTAAGCTGAATTAGAATAGTAATATAGAGTTCCAAATTTGAAATGTAGAAATTTAAAAATGAAGCTTTCGATTTGACCTGTAGCATTTGGCACCTGTCCAAGTACAGTTCAGAGAAATTTCACCTTATGATTAAGTTTTGCTGCTAAGCAGGAGCAACATTTTGGACATCAGCAATGAAAGATTCCTTCCCCTCGACTCGTCACATGAATGTGGTCAATATGAGAAACATGTGTCATAGAGAAGTCACGACAATGTGATTCTACATACTGTCTGGCCACTGGCAATACAATCATGATAAAAACCTGGCAAACACAGGAGGAGTAGGAAGTATGTTACAAGCATGAGATTGAAATAATGTCCCTGTTTCAAATTAATATCACAGTTAGAAAGTGGCTGGCAATAGGTGGCCCAGCCTTCCCTCGGACACTCTGTCCGCATGTCCTGCAGGTCCAAATCTTTTAGCTGCCATGGCATTCCGTGACCGTCTTTTCTACCAACCACTCCTGACCCCATGGTGATATTCCAAAATGCTGCCGACGGTTACATGTATTCATCGTGTGTTAAGTCCTATGAGTTTGTTGTCGTCGTGGAGTTAGTATCTTCTGACGCTGTCGCTGCCGCACTTGTATGATTCTGATGGAGCAAGCTAATGCTATCATAGCCAGCACCATTCTGTACATAGGATGTCCCGAGTCCATAAAGGTGGCCACAATACTTTACATCATCTATGTTATCTTCAAAGAACATCTACAAGAAGCCAAACTTTACCATAAACAACTATATCCACCTTCAACTGACATTTTCTTTACCTCAACAACACATCAAAATAGGTACAATAAAAACAATTTAATAATAAAAAAAACTTAATAATCAAAAAAAATTTCATGGTTTTACAAAGTCTTGAAACAAAACAAGCTATTTTCATGGAAGTTCACAAATAGAAAATTTTAAGGTGTCAAGTTACTTTTGTGTTTTTATTCAAACCATGAAAATAGCAAAAAAAGAATCCCACAAAATCGATAACTTGTCATGTACCAGGTATTTTGGATTGTTCGCCGAGTAAATTACTACTCATTATCTTAGCATTGTTAACAGGGTAGTTAATATACTTTCATCTCAAACTCATCTCCCAATTGTTTTACAATAAATGTCAGTAAGTTCATCATCCATACAAGTAATTTCTAGCAAGCTCTGCTATCAATAATTTTGAACAGAAAAAAAAGTGAGACATTAATTTTACCTCTCTCATTTTGAAGAAAGCTGCTCCTGTTAATAAACTATCACTACCAGCTTGGTGCTGCGGTCCTATTCTCTCTATCTGAAATCACAAATAGCCAGTTAAAGTTCTTAATCATCTGAGGAAACACAATCAGGTTTTTAATCAGAAATACAGAAACAGGAATGCAAGTTGGATTATATGTGCAGAAACATCAAACAAGTATATATAATTTGGCGAAAAATTCAAAGCTTATGCATGAAGTCAATTACCTATACAAAATGTGATCTGTAATAAGAGTAAAGTGATATTATTAATTTTCATGGGAGGATTTAATTTTATTGATACTGTGGGTACTCTTACTGGTTACAAAATTTATTTATTTATCCACAAAATCAAAGGTTCACAAAATTGTTATTGTTCGGAAAACCACAAAAATTGAACCTCCCAAGAATAAATGATTTCACAGTACAGCTTAAGGAACCATGCCCATTTTTACATATTGGTTTGACCAGTTTGATTAAAGTGAATCATTCATGAAACAAAGACATTCCAACTCATCACATTTTCCTTTCTGAGAAGCCGTGACAGAGCCTTTCATGACCTGTTTAATATTTGTAGGTGCATCCTAATTCATCCCTGAAACGTTACATTTTAAGTATTGTTCTCATGAAAGAAAAAGGCCTTGAACCTATAGAGTGTTAGCAGTGTGCTACTACATATATCCTGTTTGGTCCTACATGACTAGCAGTTTGACAGATCTACAATTTGGGTGTCCAAACAGGTTTTTTCAGTAATAAGAGATATTACCCTTCTTCCACTACAGTTAAAGTCTGTTTTTGCTGAAAATCGGTCACCTTAACTTTTTTCAAAGCAACTGTCTCTTGAAAACATTCTTATCAGGAGAAAAGCAGAAACATGCGGTACAACAAAATTCTTTCAAAATGAATCTTCAACAATTAAACTGGTTCAGTGTTAGCCAATTAGAAATGTTCATGGTTATATCTAGATTCCTCATTCAATGAAAAACTTGTAATCATTTAGGTGAAGTTAACAAATAAACAAGGGAAATCAGAAATCATTTAATTTTTCTTATGAATTACTGCAAACTTCAGAATATTTACTCATAAGTTTTACATGAATTATCTGAAGTACAGTTGAAACTCGTCTTGGTATCACGTGAGTCAAAATAATTTTCAAGTCCCAATTTTTTTCCTTCTATATCTTTGTAATTTTAGTTCAGATGACTCGAATTTCATTGAGTTGGGGCGACTGTCAGTCCATTTAATTGTAAGGCAAGGGAAAAGTCATTCGTTGTCTCAAAATTAATTTTTGTCAAAACATTGGCACGTCTTCTGACGAATTTGGTCAATATATACACAGAGTAGAAAGTCACCTGTGACTAACACATGGCTAATTACGGCGTATTGGTCCATTGTACACACAACACTTGTTCTCTGGCAATTAATTACTAGTTTGATCATTCAATTAAAAGTTGGCAATTTAATTAGTGTCACTATCCTGTACATGGAAAAAGTAGCACGCTTACACGAAACATCTAAACATTTAACAAGGTTGCATGCATCTTCAGGAAGTAGAAAAATGAGACCGTCATACCTGTACACATTTTTTAACAAAATCTGATCCCCACAATTCTGAGAGAAACTAATTTTGAACTTGTTTGCTTTAGGAGTGTGATCAAGCACTTTGTCAGATTTAGTGTTTGGATAATGAAGTGCTGAAAGTATTTTCTATTGCCATACCTATGCATGATTTGTTAAGTCTAGTGCTTGTGCCATGTTTTCTGTAACAGGTAAAAACTTACAAGCGCCACGCTCTTTATATATTTATTTATTCTAAATAATGTCATATTGATATGATCTGTAGCTTCATACATTGTTTCTTACAGCGCATCAAAAGCAAATTTTAATTTGTTTTATTGTTATTCCATAAAATATATGATGTATATGTGCTTGGTCAGTAAGGGTATATGTGTATGAACAAGGTGAGTACAAATGTATTTGATTGGAGTTGTTAGTGCATGTTTCGCTGTTTGTTTGCTATTGTAGCCCTACTTCATTCAACTGTAATCAAGATCAGGAAACTGATATCACCAACCTCATGTATACACTTCATTGGAGTTGAAATTCAGATAAGTTGAAATATTTTCCACCGTCCCCTGAATTTCGAGATAACAAATTTCAACTGTAATATACTGTAAAATTGGTCATTTTTGTGGGGGATTTATTGTTATTCTGTTTTTGGTGTGATTCATATGTTCATGAACTGTTAAATTAGTATTATAAGTAGAATTATTGAGTTATATTTATCAACGAAATTTAATGTCAACAATATAGCAACGATAAACCACAAAAATTGTGCCCACGAAAACATAATTTTACAGATGTATCATCAACATCTTGCTCACCTCAAGCTGTTCAGCAACTTCTTGAAGACCGCCTTTGAGATTTTTACAGCTCTTCATCAGATATTTAACATCGTATATATTTGGGAAGTAAATCCGTAACATCTCGAAAAAGTCAGATTCTTCCCTTGGCAGTTTCGAGTCGGTCAGCATCTTTAGCAAATAACCGAAGTCATACCCGCTGAAATAAAAATTCAGACTGAACAAAACACTCATACAAAATATTCCCTTGATTTTAGAGTATTACTTCGGAACGATTGGACACACCATTATCTTACATACATTTATAACGAAATCTGTACAAGCCACTTTAACCCAACCCGCCCCCCCCCTCCACTATAAGATATATTCCACAAGGTTTAACAAAACATCTCAGTCAGAGGGGGACATTTGTTGTTTAATGAACAGAAAATAACAAGGATGGACTTATTGGCATTTGATAATAGTAACAGTCCTTTACCTGTGGAAAGATAACCATTTAACCTCCTCATTCAAAACAATCCCAGATGTCATTAAAAGTTCTGCAAAGTCATTAACATCAATGCCATCGTTTATGTGTTTTTCAAATTGGATTCCCGAGTTCTGGAGGAGATCGATGGATTCCTGGGCATACATGTCCTCTCTGTAAATGAAAGTAAATCATATGTCTAAATGACACCTATCCATCACGCAGAATAAATATACAACTATCACACAAATACAGTAGAAGATCATGCCTTTCAGACAAGGTCTTACAATAGTTTAAAAGTATCTAACAAGGTCAATGAAATGATATTTCACTAGCTGTGACATGTTTAATACTATATAATTCTACTAGGGTTAATAACAGCTCACATTTATCATAAACAAAGCTTGTAATTAGTCAACTTACAAAAGTATCAGGTGATACAATTAATAAAGTTACGATCATGTAGTTCCAGATGGACCATAGTGAGTCAGAAGTATCACAAGGGACACAATATATAGTATAGTTTATCCTTGTTGTTAGGTTAATCAATATGGATTCACTCTTTATCCTTAGCAGATAAGCATGGTAGGACATTCTACCTCTCAAGTTATACCAGAACTTTTACAAATCCATTTCAATATCAAATAAAACTTCTGACCAAGCAGACATTGATATGAAAATCTGACTTAAAGGAAAATCATTTTAATCAACATAGGTCAAAATTGGAGTAAAAATTCTCAAGAATAATTTGCATATGTACAAGTAATTGGGAAATATGAGAGATCTATTCATTCGTTTTTAAAAATGATATGAACAAAAGTTGTTTGACCACAGCCCCCACCCCTCCAATCGAAGGTGAGCGAAAAAAATATTGTAGGTGTATAGAATGTGAGTTTGGTGGATTGATAGATCCAGTAAGGAACTCTTACGTCAGGTTATATTTGAAGTTGAATTGCCAAGTTGATACTGGCTCTGGCGTTTCACCCAACTCATTCTGAAACGTGACTCCAACTTGGATTATCTTCAGCAGGTCAACATTACACCGGAGTAACTGGTAAGAGTAATCTGCTGTACTTCGGAACTCCCCAATAGGACGGGCAACCACACCTGGAAACTCTGTGTCCTACAAATGAAGGATTTACTTCAATATCACGTAGCTACAGAAAGGACAAAGGTGACATTTTCTTCAGAAGTTGAAATTTAGATATCATATTTTCTACTGAAACACCATTGCTGCCTCATTCCCAGTATATCAAACAGACTTTATGAATCTTTATATTTGACCAAACACTAACATTGTATGAATGTATTAAACCAACAAAGAAATGACTTCATGTTACAATTATTTATTCTGTTTATCGATCCTTATCAATCAGGTAAAAGTGAAATGATCAATCAATTCGGATAAACTTTTGTCTTGATTAATTACATCCACAATACTTCAGGAGTTATGACCACTTTTACTTCATGGCAAATTGAAGGCACAAGTAAAGTAATATGATGGGTCTAGAACACATTTCAAGAGAAAAAAAATCAAAGTGCCAAGATCACCCATAAGTGTGGTGCTGGGTGAATCGAAATAAAGAAACGAAGGAAGAGGTATATCAGTGTGGGAAAAAAATGAAGAAAGCACAGAATGCCCTGTTTACCAGATATATTTCAATTTTCATCGCCATTCATTTATTCCAATAAATGAAACAATGTTCAATGACGAGAGGTATGGCACTGGAATTACGTTTAGTAATCAGACATGCTGATGATGTAAATGGAGGTTCCCAACATCAAGTCCTACCCAGATGAGAAAAATATGAGTGGACAGGTTACAACTGACCAGTCTGTGTCAAGTGTGGCTCTTAAAATCTGCACTGATGTGAACACTTGTAGTGGCACGGTTAGGCCACATACAATCAGCATACTTTGAGCACTGAACTATAGTAGCAGACTCTCTTAAAATATTTTTTAGTGCTGATGGGAATTGATGGAGATTTCAACATAAACTTTCAGTTATAGTAACTGGTTACTGTTTTTGTGACCATCAATTCAAGGTGTATTTGAGCATTGCACATTTTAATTTTTAAATACAAAGTGTATGTGTTGAACTTAGGAGTCCTACATGTATCTATATTCATACTAAAGTGGCCTATTACGTAAATTCTTGCTTGCAATGGCACACCATCAGAACTGTCACCAATCTAGAATACATTACTAATATTCATTAGCAAATTATACATGACGTAATCTACACACTACTTTAATCATATCTAGGTAGTTTGCTGGCCCCGTTTTATTCTCTTGGTCATTTCATGTCCATGATTACTAACAAAGCTTGCTACTGATTCACAGTACAAAGCCAGCTCTAGACTAGTAAAGTATCCTTTCGTTAAAAAAGAGTAATTAATGAAAACTTCAATGTTAATCAAATTTTCAATGACTATCCCATGTTAACTGAGCAGTTTTTCATTTAAAACATGGTCGGAAATCTGCTATTGCCATTTCAATTAGAATATGATTATCTTAGTAACACTTACCATTTTTCAATAGACATATGAGAGTGATTAAACAATTTAAGGCTAGTCATAGAATAAAGACCTTGTTAAGAGAGTATGAAACATCCAATGGATAGACAATGGAAGGTAACTTTAACACTAGAAGATAGGCAAACCACTTTCTTACAAATAGACAAAAGTAACATAGTAATATGTGCATAAAGTAGGTAGGCATTCTCAAAGATGAATTAAGTAACTTTATGAGAAGTATACAATTTCGTTTTAATTTGCTGATTTCATAAACATGTATTGTGCAAAATAACAGTATCAACTACTACACCAATAATTTCAAAACACACTGTACCCCTTTCACAGAGGTAGATATATCTTTTTTGAAGAAATAATGAAATTCCAGGTTTTAAATCTGGTGATGATTACACATGCTCAGTGTCTGAAAAATGACCAATGACAGACAGATACTTTTGAAGAATATAAAGGAGTGACACCTAACTTCACATCCAGTCTAACATACAGTTATGTGACCTTGAGATTTGTTTGATGGACATCAAAGTATCAAAACTAGTCGTCTCATCTTACCCACAGGGTGCCATACTTGTAACCTTCAATTTTGCCATGACATATTCCAGTGATGCAGAGAGCGAAATAACCACTGGAGTATAAAGGATGATTTAATTGCAATCCTTCGTATAAATAGTTTAGTCCGAGTCAGTTATCCAGTTGGCATTTTTGCTAACCATCCCAACCCTAAAAGTGACAGCATTGACTCTTCTCAGCTGTAACTATAAAACTTGAACAGTAAAGCATAACTACATGCAAGACCCAATGTATTATTTACATTGATGAAGACCTAAACTCATTACTACATTAATATAAGTCTGACTAGGCAGTGTATTACTTCTGTTTTCTGTTTACCATTGCAACATATCTGTACTTGGTGACAACATGTCTGATTTTCCTGAACTCCTCTTCTAGATTATTTTGCCACACGTCCTTGATACCATACTCTGTTTGTGCTATTGATGGCATGCTCGCAGCATATCTGGGGACACGACCAAGCCCTCTGACAGCTCTTTTGCCAATATCAGTTGCAATCTAATATTTTGTTACTCTCTTTCCTGGAAAGAAATAAAATAAGTAGTATATTAATTTGTCATTGGACTATACACAGATTCTTATCTATTCCAGTGCTCCAGATAACTTTTTGACATGTGGGGTTTTCACTCCTACCTTTATAAATTGAGGGGTTTTTTCACCCCTGCCTTCAACAAGTGTATGGGTTTTTCCATATTAGGGTAACACTGAATTTGTAAACATTTTTGACAGCGCCATATTTGCTATGCGACTGGTTTATAATCACGATCAAGAAAGAGCTTGTTACGAGTTTCGTTTACTTGATAAGTGTCTGTTTGACTTAGATTATTGAGTTTTCTAACTACGTAATATTGGAGCCGGACATTGACGCAGAGTCCGGATTTCGCACGGGTTAATGACGCAAATCTTATTTTTTTCCTAGCGTGAAATTAGAAATATTGTGCGTGAAAACGCATTCACGCAGGCTATCTGGAGCACTGTATTCTTATACCGTTAATGTTCATCCAATTTGCTGTACAAAAGCCCCCGCCCCCTTTAAAAATGTGGATTCTTGTGTACTAGGCTGGAGTAATGAAAAACAGCCTGCTATTGGTTGGGTTTGAACTAACAACCTTTCTATCTCTAGTTGGACTCTCTTATCGCTTGACAAATGGAAAAACCTAGCCAAGGCTAGTAAGGCAATATGTACTTTCAATTTCTACACTACTCCCTCCTTCGCAAAGTCTTCAACCCAAAAATAATAACAACCCAGATTCAATATCCCCAAGGACACATATCAATCTCCTCTAGCTTCTACCCAACGGCACCAAATCTGTAATAGGAAGGAGTAACAAAAAACTAACAACCTTTCAGCCTCTATGCAACCACTCTACTGCTTCACTAAAGGGAAATTCTCCTCAGCCAAGACTAGTTAGGTGACCTGTACTCTCAACTTTTATATTTGAACAGAAGTTTTAAATGTCAAGAGTTGAAAATTCACTCTTTAAAGTTTCTATAGCATAAATAGTTTCCACCATTAACCACCATGTCTTTCCCTCAATCAGGTGTGTTTTTACAGTGTCAAATAGCACAGTAGAATTAAATTGCATTCTGAAGTCAGACAAGATTTTGATCTCTTCTCAGCTATTGGCTTGGATGTAGTGATGAAGCCAAATTATTAAAGCAATGAAAGTTAAATACATGTACACTTTACATAAGTTTTTTTTCCTTTTACTAGAGAACACAAATAATTGCATGAATCTGTTGAAACCAAATGAACCTTGTAGAATTTTAAAATGCTCTTGATCCAAGACCGATTTTTGAGAGGCAGGGCTATTCAGTGTTATTAAAATGACATGGTGGTTAGATCCTTTATCAAATCGATTAAAGACGAAAATTGAAAGTATAGCATAAAGACACAAAAGTACCGATATTTGTACAAATAAATTGTCTCTGGACTTCTTTATGGCCTCCAAGCGATTATAAAATTTATTCAACAAAATTACACATGCCATATATATCTTATTTTGCTCCTCTCTGTATGTCGTTCCTGGAAATCAGAAGTTGTTAATTTGTTACACAGTCACAAACAATAAATTGCATAAGCATGCAACATGAAAGCTTATTGCCCGAAAGAGGTTCTGAAAGCTGTGATAATTCTTGTATGTTCGTAGTATCCTCCGAGTGTATCGCGTGGTTTCATTATGAAGCGTGTTTTAGTCACACTGAAAGAAAACAATGCTTAAAAGAAACAAAAGAGTTCCAAACAATGAAACTATTTCATTATACCTACCACGACTAAACTAAATTAATAAGCATGTAGAACTGTATTTTTGAGGGCTACATGTCTTTGTGATATTCTTGACCGCGATCGCCGACTGCGCATATGAACAGGAAGTTATTTTACCCCAATAACCGATGACGTAGAACGACTTCCGGATTATAGTAAAGCGAAAATGAACTGGTTTGGAAGCAAACAGAAGACAAATGTACCTTCACAGACCAATCTACAGGCTCACAGAGCAAAACAGATCGATTCTTTAAAAAAGAACAACTTGAAGTAAGTATGTAAATCTGAAGGCGGTAGCTTAGATTCATTTAAAGCTGATTAGAAAGAAATGTTCAAATTATACTGACACTATATAATTATACGGCAACATGTTCATATGTACCAAATATAGTCTATTTATAGTTATTACAGTGTACCTGGTTTCAGAAATACGTGTAGACTGATGTATGGTTATGACTTCAATGCATTTGAAGCAGAAAACTCTCGTTTTATTTTCCTTTTTAGATCATTTTTTAATCATTCAATTTTGTTCACTTGAGAATTTTTATTGAGATGATGAGTAGAATAAATAACTAATAAGACAGCAGTGGTGGGACATCGGCTTCAGACAAAGTTGATTAATTAGTTGATCCTTCCAATGTGATTTCGCCAATTATGACCAGTTCAATAAGTTTTGATTTCAGTATCCTTGTCTTACCGTACTTCTGTTTGTTTGAGTTGTATCCTTTCAGTGTTGAAGCAATTAAATGTTGTAAACAAAGTTCTTCCACTTTCGATCCCAAACAACTTTAATTTCAGCATATTTACAGTGTTGGCAACTACACAGAATCTCTCTAAAATTACTGTTGTAAATCTACCATTGTTGCCAATCTCCCATGAATTCATTTTTCGGTAGGTTTACAACCCCATTGCTAGAAAGATTCTGCATAGTGGCAGCCATTGTAAATATGCTTTAAAGTAAAGTTTCTTGAAAAATGAGAGAAAATACTCGGTTTACAACATTTGATTGTGTGCAAGTAAGTTAAAACATGTTTTATCATTCCATTGATGTATGATTTATAACAATTACGTTGTTTTAAACATAAAACAATGCCTGAATGTGGATCCTTGCAGGGTGGCTAGAATTTGGCATTTTGTAATTCTGACTCACAACCGCAATGAAGACAAAAAATGAAATCTCGCATAGATAGTCAGAACCCTTCAGACTAATAGTTCTTTTGCTGAAACTTTGTCGAACTTGCATAGATAATCTATACAACACCCTGTATACTCTTGATTTCCACACTACTCCATCCCTCAACCTTTTAAGGGATAGTCAAACCATGAAATAGATTGGATGTTTTGTATTTAAGGTTTGGATTGTCTTGTTATGGTATTTATAGTTAGTATAAATGAAAGAGCTTTGCTGACAAGTAGACTTTGATACAAGTGCAAAACCTTGTCATTTACAACAACCATAAATGCCTTCTCTGTAAGGAATGTGTTGCTGTCTTGTGAAGATATGAACACAATTTCAACTAAGATAAGCTATTTATTACCATTTTTAATGTGTCAAATGGAACAGCCATTTTGGTGGTGTATCATGACCATTATTGTTTCTATGCCTACAATAATGATGTCATAATAGTCACACTCTTGAATATCATTTATGGTCCTTAACTACACTTTTTTTCTAATCAGTTTATGTAGAGGTGTATCTGTACAAATATGATATTTCTAAATCTTGATTTCAGCCCAATAGAGACTATACCAAACACAGAATACAGAGTGACATGTCAGTGTGGAGGGAACAACATCATTTTGATAATGTAGGTATTCAGTGACCTGTAATCCTGATAATGTAGGTATTCAGTGACCTGTAATCCTGATAATGTAGGTATTCAGTGACCTGTAATCCTGATAATGTAATTACCCAATGACCTGTAATCCTGATAATGTAATTACTCAATGACCTGTAATCCTGATAATGTAAGTACTCAATGACCTGTAATCCTGATAATGTAATTACTCAATGACCTGTAATCCTTATAATGTAGGTATTCAGTGACCTGTAATCCTGATAATGTAGGTATTCAGTGACCTGTAATCCTGATAATGTAGGTACTCAGTGACCTGTAATCCTGATAATGTAATTACTCAATGACCTGTAATCCTGATAATGTAGGTACTCAATGACCTGTAATCCTGATAATGTTGGTACTCAATGACCTGTAATCCTGATAATGTAGGTACTCAATGACCTGTAATCCTGATAATGTTGGTACTCAATGACCAGTAATCCTGATAATGTAGGTACTCAATGCTGATAATGTAGGTACTCAATGACCAGTAATCCTGATAATGTAGGTATTCAGTGACCTGTAATCCTGATAATGTAATTACTCAATGACATGTGATCATGATAATGTAAGTACTCAATGACCTGTAATCCTGATAATGTAGGTACTCAATGACCTGTAATCCTGATAATGTAAGTACTCAATGACCTGTAATCCTGATAATGTAGGTACTCAATGACCTGTAATCCTGATAATGTAGGTACTCAATGACCTGTAATCCTGATAATGTAGGTACTCAATGACCTGTAATCCTGATAATGTAGGTATTCAGTGACCTGTAATCCTGATAATGTAGGTACTCATTGACCTGTAATCCTGATGATGTAGGTATTCAGTGACCTGTAATCCTGATAATGTAATTACTCAATGACATTTGATCATGATAATGTAAGTACTCAATGACCTGTAATCCTGATAATGTAGGTACTCATTGACCTGTAATCCTGATGATGTAGGTATTCAGTGACCTGTAATCCTGATAATGTAATTACTCAATGACATGTGATCATGATAATGTAAGTACTCAATGACCTGTAATCCTGATAATGTAGGTACTCAATGACCTGTAATCCTGATAATGTAGGTACTCAATGACCTGTAATCCTGATAATGTAGGTACTCAGTGACCTGTAATCCTGATGATGTAGGTACTCAGTGACCTGTAATCCTGATAATGTAGGTACTCAGTGACCTGTAATCCTAATAATGTAATTACTCAATGCCCTGTAATCCTGATAATGTAGGTACTCAATGACCTGTAATCCTGATAATGTAGGTACTCAGTGACCTGTAATCCTAATAATGTAGGCACTCAATGACCTGTAATCCTGATAATGTAGGTATTCAGTGACCTGTAATCCTGATAATGTAGGTACTCATTGACCTGTAATCCTGATGATGTAGGTATTCAGTGACCTGTAATCCTGATAATGTAATTACTCAATGACATGTGATCATGATAATGTAAGTACTCAGTGACCTGTAATCCTGATAATGTAGGTACTCAGTGACCTGTAATCCTAATAATGTAATTACTCAATGACCTGTAATCCTGATAATGTAGGTACTCAATGACCTGTAATCCTGATAATGTAGGTATTCAGTGACCTGTAATCCTGATAATGTAGGTACTCATTGACCTGTAATCCTGATGATGTAGGTATTCAGTGACCTGTAATCCTGATAATGTAATTACTCAATGACATGTGATCATGATAATGTAAGTACTCAATGACCTGTAATCCTGATAATGTAGGTACTCAATGACCTGTAATCCTGATAATGTTGGTGCTTCCTCATTTTCTTGTAATCCTGATTATTTAAGTTATTCTTCATTAATCTTTAATCTGTACTTTTTGATAAGCAATCAGTTTGAATTTGTCCAATTGTCACTATCACTATCACTGGTACAATGATTGACACAAAGATTTTTGATTCCTGATCTACTTTCCCATATTCCAATTTAACTATGAGTAAATTTGACCTATTTAACTTTATATTACCAGTATAAGATAACATGTAAAGTGTTCTTCCTTTTTTGTGTTAGTACCATTTTCTAAAGGTGGTGATATTTACATTGCAGATCCTTACCCCCACAGTTCCCTCAGGACCCACCCACAGTGACAGTCACTCCACCAGTGGTTCATCCTTGGGTAGATTCTACTCAGAAAATTGTTGGCTGCCAAAACCTGAACTCTGTAAGGAATGCTGATATCAAAACAGTATCTCAAATTACATTTTACTCCAAACAATTATGAAATTTATAAAGTCTTCATTACAGAATTATTTTATATTTAATATATACAAGCCTCTCTATCACAGAACACTTATGTTATAGTGTGGCATTGTTTAACTGAACGGATTGGTAGGTGTCTAGAAGGGTGAAGTGAGCTGTGTTTATCATTTATTTATTTATTGATTTATTTATTAGCCGACCGTCATCAAATGGGTGAATGGGTGGGTGGAAGGTAGGGGTGGCTATTTAAATCGCTCTGCGTCTGTGGTCTGTGGTCTGTGGTCTGTCTGTCTGTCCATAAACAATTTTTATTATCACTATTTCTTAGATGTACTGGATGAATCTCTCTCAAATTGCATATGTTGGTTCCCCTTGGTCCCTTGTTGCGCCAATTTGATTTTTGGTCAGAGCAGGCAAATAAAATGGCCATAAAGTGGACATATTGGATTTTAACTTTGCAAGTTTGTTATCATTATTTCATGAGCAGTACTAGATTGATCTCTCTCGAATTTGCTATGTGGGTTCCCCTTTTTCCTTAGTTGTGCCCATTTTCTTTTGAGACTGCTCAGAAAAACAAAATGGGCGATAGGCAGCCATCTTGGATTTCATTATCACTATTTCTTGAGAAGTACTGGATGGATCTTTCAGATTGCATATGTAGGTCCCCCCTTTGTTCCTAGATGTGCTCATTTGATTTTGGGACTGAACAAAAAACAAAATGGCCAACAGGCAGCCATCTTGGACTTTGACTTTGAAAATTTGTTATCGCTATTTCTTGAGAAGTACTGGATGGATCTTTCTTAAATTTTATTTTTGGGTTTCCCCTGGTCCATAGTTGTGCCCTTTTGATTTTGGGTCTGATAAAAAAACAAAGGACTGACAGGTGGCCATCTTGTTTTATAACTTTGAAAGGTTGTTATTGCTATTTCTTAAGAATTACTCAATGGATCTTTCTAATATTTCATATGTAGGTTTCCCTTGGTCCATGGATGTGCCCATTTGATTTTGGGATTGTTTAAAAAGCAAAATGGCTGGCAGGCAGCCATCTTGGATTTTGAATTTACAAATTTGTTTTCGCTATTTCTTCAGAAGTACTGGATGGATCTCTCTAAATTTATATGTAAGTTTCCCTTTGTCCTTAGTTGTGCCCATTTAATTTTGCATTCTGATCAGAGAAACAAAATGGTTGAAAGGTGGCCATCTTGGATTGGTCTTTGAAAGTTTGGTATCACTTTTTCTTGAGATCTACTGTAAAGATCTTTCTCAAATTTCATGTATAGGGTTCTTTTTAACCCTAATTGGGCCTATGTTAGTTTGGGACTGATCAGAAAACAAAAAGGCCAACAGGCAGCCATCTTGGGCTTTGCCTAAGAAATTACTGAATGGATATATCTCAAATTTCATATGTATGTTCCCCTTGTTTGCTTTTGGGACTGATCAGAAGAAACAAAATGGCTTCCAGGTGACCATTTATTTCTGCAAAGGAATGTTCAAATGTCTTATAATTAAGAGCAAAAACAGAAGAGAAGAGAAAAGAAGGGAAAAGATCCAACTTTCAAAGAGCATATAAAGATCAAACTATGGTGGGTGCCAAGATCTTCTAGGATCTCTTGTTTATTTATTATGTTTCATGTCCACTATTATAGCCATGTGGCATTTAACATAAAAGAAACACAACAAAAGGCCAAAAAACCATGATTAGGTTTTACTGTACTTGTAAAAACTTTTTCAGGATTTTAGAAAAAAAATTCAAGAAATATGATGATTTATAAGATTTTAATGGCTTTAATGTTTAAGTGAACAATCTTTTATGAAACTTCCATTTTTCAGTTTTCGATGCATTCTAGTCTTGGCAATGCTGTTCAGTCTGTTGTTGAAGAATTCAAGAAGAACCCACCACAGATACGATCACAGTCCTAGTGAGTATAAACAAAGTAACCTGAGGGTCAGGTTAAGAGCAACTGGTTATATTTATCCATTTTCAATAAGCCCATTACCTCTGATGAATAGTGATTAATTAGGCTTATTGCAGGAAGATCAACCAGCATTGTTGGTATTCTTCTGACTGGATAGATAGATATAGATGTATATATTTAGATATATTTAAATATAGATAGATATAGATATAGATAGATAGATATAGATATATTTAGATATAGATAGATATATTTAGATATAGACATAGATATATATATATATAGATATAGATAGATATAGATAGATAGATATAGATATATTTAGATATAGATAGATATATTTAGATATAGATATAGACATATATATAGATATAGATAGATATAGATAGATAGATATAGATATATTTAGATATAGATAGATATATTTAGATATAGACATAGATATATATATATAGATATAGATAGATATAGATAGATATAGATAGATAGATATAGATATATTTAGATATAGATAGATATATTTAGATATAGATATAGACATATATATAGATATAGATAGATATATAGATATAGATAGATATAGATATAGATGTATATATTTAGATATATTTAAATAGAGATAAATATATTTAGATATAGATAGATATAGATAGATAGATATAGATATATTTAGATATAGATAGATATATTTAGATATAGACATAGATATATATATATAGATATAGATAGATATAGATAGATATAGATAGATAGATATAGATATATTTAGATATAGATAGATATATTTAGATATAGATATAGACATATATATAGATATAGATAGATATAGATAGATAGATATAGATATATTTAGATATAGATAGATATATTTAGATATAGACATAGATATATATAGATAGATATATTTAGATATAGACATAGATATATATAGATAGACATAGATATATATAGATAGATATATTTAGATATAGACATAGATATATATATATAGATATAGATAGATATAGATAGATATAGATAGGTATAGATAAACCAGATAAAGGTTTATTTGCCAAGTGAGTATACTGTACAACAGTTACAAAGTATGACAGAGGTCAGGCTTCTTATAAGAACCAATGTAGGTATAAGTAAGTTTATTGGAGGAGATTTTACCTGCCATAGGCATAACGCTGGATGTACACTAGTATCATATTCACCATCATTATCACCCACCTTCTTGTGGAAGAATTCAAATTATATAAGCTCCCTACTAGTCAGAACACAACTGCTGATTATTCCATTGTGTACATTTTAATCCTAACATGCTTACAGGAATTTCCACATACCCCCATTCTTTTTGTCTGCCAATGGAAGTAAAGATTGTCAACTAATAAATGCATGATGTACATCAAAAGTATTTTCTTAATATATGTGCATTACATGTCTACCCAAAGTCTCTCTGCCTCGTTTTGGTATAAGAATGATGACACCAATGTAACAGTTATATGGCTATCACTGATTTTCAATAAAATCTTTACTTTTTAAAGGGTTTTTTTGCTATATTAACAGGCGGTATTTTCATGAATTTTACTAGCTGTTACTGGTCACTATAAATTGAAACATTGAAGGTCTCAGACTATTTTTGATGTGAGGAATTCACCTAGATGACACCAATCATACTGGTATGAAACTTTGGTATAAGAAAATAGAGCAGTGACATAATTTGACAATATTAATGTTTTATACTTTTTGATTTTACGAAGATAAAAATTTACATTTTATTATCGTTTTAATATTGTTACCAGTAACAAATGTTTTAGGCACCAGGGAGAATACAGCATGCTATCGTGTACTACTAGATCTGACCCTGCTGTTTGTATGTTACAGTGGACCTCAGCTCGGATACCAGCCAGTGCCACCTCAGAATGCTCATTTCTCAGGATTCAGTGCCGGGGGAATGGCAGGATATCCATCCCCACCCACACTCCCTCCATCTGTCCCGGGGGGTAGCACAGTATCTCCTGTAATTGACAGAAGACCTCAGGTTCAGTATAGACACTGTAATGGGGTTTTTTTGTTTGTTTTTTGTTTGATGGTTTAAATATTCTTGGTTTAACAATAGCTACAAGGCAATAAAAATATATGTTTTGGTCACGAGTATATCTGCTATTACTTTAAAAGGGAAATAACCCCTTTTATGTTAAAGTAAGTAGGGTGTGAAAAAAAATGCAGTAGGTGTTTTATCAACATTGAATTGTTTAAATTTTAGACTGAATCATCAGAAAGCATTACTACACAAAATGGAGGCATCCCAGATATAAAAGTCGCCTTTCCGGAGCTTAAGAGTAAAACGTAAGTGTTGTTGATGGAAAATATTTTCAATGAAGTAGACATAGACTTTCACAAAATATTGTTCCTGGTAACCAAAATTTTCTACAGTATTTGAATAAAACTTGTTTGTTTTATATACAGAGGTTACTCTTTTCAGCATTTCAAACAAAAGTTAGAAGTTAGTGTAGAAAGTAACACTTCAACTTACCAATATGAGCAGTTCTTGGACTTATATCTACAATCTCTAGAAAAATGGAAAATCTTATTTACCATGAGTATATGTTGGCTTGTTGTGTATTCCAGTCTGACTGAGCTAAATTCTATGTTGAATGAAGAGGAAAAAATACTGGAAATGATTCAGAATCTACCAGATGTTACCAAACTAGCAGAGGACCGAGAAAAATTATCAAATGAATGTATAAACTTGGCAAGTAGGTACCATGATAGTCAAACTAGTTTATCAATAACGATGTTGTAGTTGAATATTTAGTGGAAGATTGGGCCACAATGGAATGTTAGGCTTCGCAACCTGCCGTGAAGATCTGAGGTATATGGTTCAACGCTCCCTACCCCTGGCAGTTTGTGTTTCTCAGAAAGCTGTGCTGACATTGTCAGACCTGCCAAGTCTCACGCTTCTCGTGTGAGTCTCACACATTTTGCCACTGTCTCACACACTCACGCAAGCCTTAGTTATCTCACGCGAAATGAATTTATTGGTCAGAAATTTTCAAAAACCTCGTTTTCTACACTTATGCCGCAGTTATATGATCCTAAGCAGTGTCCTAGTGTCCATTGAAAAAGTCTTTTTACCCTCATTGCTGTGGATGTGAAGGGCCTCCTGTATGTTGTTCAGCAAGGAAGTCACCAACTGCTACCAGTAGACCCCTCCTCATAATATCCCTGACTGTTAACAGAATGGGAAATCCAACAAACTGCAAACATCCTGTGCATATCATATTAATCCTAACCTTGATCAATCTCACAGAAAACATCACAACATGTCTTGCTATACTATTACTGGTACCATACTTTCTTAAAGTGTTAGATAAATTTGCTCTTGCAAGAAGCCCTGAGCTCAAACATATTACGTCTGTCTCAAAGCCAGAGGTTTGGTTGGAGGGAAGAAGTAGATGTGCAGGTCAGTCTGCTGACCGGATTCTGGCAAGTCTCTCACTGGGCTTAGTCTGATTACGAAAGGGAGGGTATGGTTTCACCTGTCCTACAAGAGACATTTTTAGTTCACCTGTCCCTGCTTTAGCTTGCTTGAAATGATCATCAAAACTTGGATACAGCAGCCACAGCTGCACTTTTGTAACATGGTTTTTTGCAAACCATGATTCTCCTGGACAATGTCTACTTTCAACTTCCTTTTAAGTTCAGCCAGTGATATTGAACTCAAACTTGCTTGAAATGATCTTGGGATGATCCTGACCAAATGTTATAATTTGTCAGATTAGTCAAATATCCAATATGGCCACCATCCGTATAAATCACATTTTAAACTTGTTCTCTTGACCATCCATAGACTGGTGCCATAGAATTTTTTAAAAAAGTTGGTTTGGATGTCATAGAAATGAAATTGATGAAGTGTTGTCATTTTAGATAACATCTTATATGGTTTAGAATTATTTTGTGTGTTCAAAAAAAATTGTAATTAATGGTAGCCATGTTGAATTAAGTTCATTTTTAAAAAATTCTTGTCCAAGAGAATCATGGTTTTTCAGTAAACAGTGGCACCTGTTTTAATATGTTTTATTTTAATGTTATAATACCATTTCACAGTTCTCTGATGCAGGATGAAGTTTATAGCTGTAAAATTCTGTCAAAACTTTTTTAATAACTGTGTCAGGATTCATATATATATGTCACAGTTTATGATGTATGATACTCTGATGTCAAGTTTGATGTCAGATAATTAGCAAAAAGTTTTCTACTACATGAAGACCAAGTGATTTAGATAACATCTTTTATGGTTTAGAATTATTTTGTGTGCTCTTGAAATTAAAAATCACATGTAATTAATGGATCCAGTCAGCCATGTTGAATTCCTTTAAGTTCCATTTTTAAAAAATTCTTGATTACAGGAGAGAATTTGTCTATGTCATGATACTGAATGCCTACTATGATGTCATGATACTCTGATGTCAAACAGTCTGATGTCAGACAATGTCATGATATGTCACGTCACAGTCTGTATGTCACACATTTCACAGTATCAATGTCATGATACCTCCCAATAGATGTCACATTACTCTTATATCTGATGTCATGATACTGTCATGTCACAGATTTATTTTACTCTGATGTCATGATACTGTCATGTCACAGTACTGATTGTCATTACATGTTCTACTTATGATGTCTGATGTGTCATGATGTCTCACTCTGATGTCATGTCACAGTACTTATGATGTCATGATACTCTGATGTCATAATATTCTGATGTCATAATACTCTGATGTCATGATACTCTGATGTCATAGTTCACTGAACTTATGATGTCATGATACTCTGATGTCATAATATTCTGATGTCACAGTACTCTGATGTCATAGTTCTCTGATGTCATGGTACTGTCATGTCACAGTACTTATGATGTCATGATACTCTGATGTCACAGTTCTGTGTCAGGATACTCTGATTTCACAGTACTCTGATGTCAAAGTTCTCTGATGTCATGATACTGTCATGTACTCTCTGATGTCATGATACTCTGTCATGATGTCACAGTGTCTGATGTCAGTACTCTGATACTGTCATGTCACAGTACTTATGATGTCATGATACTCTGATCTCAAAATACACAGAAGTAACACAACTCAGATTTCATGATACTGTCATGTCACAGTACTTATGATGTCATGATACTCTGATGTCATAATACTCTGATGTCTGGCTCTGATGTCACAGTACTGTCATCTGATGTCATAATACTCTGATGTCTCATACTCTGATGTCATGATACTGTCATGTCACAGTACTTATGATGTCATGATACTCTGATGTCATAATACTATGATGGCATGATGTCATGATACTGTCATGTCACAGTACTTATGATGTCATGATACTCTGATGTCATAATACTCTGATGTCTCAGTACTCTGATGTCATGGTACTGTCACGTCACAGTACTTATGATGTCATAATACTCTGATGTCTCAGTACTCTGATGTCATGATACTGTCATGTCACAGTACTTATGATGTCATGATACTCTGATGTCATAATACTCTGATGTCTCAGTACTCTGATGTCATGATACTGTCATGTCACAGTACTTATGATGTCATGATACTCTGATATCTCAGTACTCTGATGTCATGATACTTTGATGTCATAATATTCTGATGTCTCAGTACTCTGATGTCACGGTACTCTGTGATATCACTCTTTTGTGATGTTATATTACTCCTTTACAGTACTCCGATGTGACGGTATTCTGTTGCAGTCCTCTTGATATCAATGGAGGTCTATATAAGCAATATGTTACAGTAATTAAAGCTAAATAACAAGAACATTACAGTAACATTTAACAGGTATGGTCCTGTCACAAAAAATTCCAGGAACTTGCTTATCAGAAGCTTGTTTTCTTTGTTAGACATTCAGTTCTATAACATTGTAAATTTGTGAATTATTGTTGGGAATTTACATTAACTTATTTGGTAGATACTCTTAATCCACAAGTTCACTTGTCCACAAACTGTTAAAATCATTGAAAGGATATTTATCAAGCTGTATTTTAACACAAAATCAAGTGTCCACAAAAAACCTAGAAAATATATGATATTGCAGTACTCAAAAGGGGTTTTAATTCATATTATCAAAAGTTGAAAAACTTGAAGCAGAAGAGAATGATTAATTTACAGGGAAATAAAGGAAATTGTTTTCTAGTTAATTTCATTGTCAAGTTGTCTCTCTTTTTTCTTTTTCTTTTTTTTTTTTTTTTTTTACTTCGCAATTGCATTTCATTCTCTAAAATAGCAGAAATTAGAACACCTCTATAAGAACTTAACAAAAGTTTAGATGATATCATTGTCTCCTTCCAATATTGTACCTACAGAACAGCCTGTTTGAAAACCTGCTGGAGGAGTTTGAGAGTAACCAGGAACAGTTGATGTCTGAGTCTGACAAATTCCAGCCCACAAACATTCAAACTTGTCTGAAAGTGTCGCTGATGGAGGCTGAGGAAGAAGCTGAAAACATTGTAGGGGAATTGATGGACAGTACGTACGATAGCTCTTAAAATCAGACTTGAACTTACGAGTGTTCAACTTAGATTCAAGACCAGTTCTGTGACTCCCATAAAATATCTAGCATTAGGTTATATGATTATTTTATATAACTTTATATAGATAACACTGACCTGTATTTCTGCCTCTGAGCCCCATCAATGCACATTGCTTTTTAAGTGATGATTCATCAAATTTCATAATTAGCTTTAATTAATTTTAGAAGATAGGTTATCTCAAATGAAAAGAAGGCCACTGTGCTGTTTTATTTTAACAAGAGGTTAACAAACAAGAAAACATTGAACTATTGGTCACTTACACTATATATGATTTATTGAATTCTGATTATTATTATCATTGAAGTTTGTTTTGAAAATTTAGTTTCTGTATTTGTCTTTTGATTTGTAGAAAAAATCAACATTGATGAATTTATACAGCGGTTTATACAAACACGAATGGTAAGTTTCTCATTTGAAATTCCCAATAATTTGGTGTATGATTATAAATAATTCTGACTCACTGTCAGGGGGCAGGCTTATTACAGAATACTTCTCACTCAATGTCACGGGTGGGCTTATTACAGGACATCTCTCATTCAAAGTCAGGGGGCAGGCTTATTACAGAATACTTCTCACTCAAAGTCATGGGTGGGCTTATTACAGGACATCTCTCATTGAAAGTCAGGGGGCAGGCTTATTACAGCATACTTCTCACTCAAAGTCACGGGTGGGCTTCTTACAGGACATCTCTCATTCAAAGTCAGGGGACAGGCTTATTACAGAATACCTCTGATTCAAGGTCATGAGGATGGGATTGATATAGGATACCCCAGAATCAATGTCGGGGATGGGTTTATTACAAGATACCTCACACTCAGGGAGCTCCTTATTACAGGGTATGGCTTCAGTAAAAGTATTTTAGAGAATTCTTATATCAGTTGGCTTATTATGAGGCATTGAGTCCGGGGATGGGCTTATTACAGGATACTTTCAATCAGGGGGCCCCTTATTACAGGGTATGGCTTCAGTAACGATATTTTAGAGAAATCTTATATTAGTGGTCTTATTATGAGGCATTGAGTGCGGGGATGGGCTTATTACAGAATACCCTGACACAAAGGCAAGGGTCGACTTATTACAGGTTACCTCAACTGATAATTAGCAGGTGGCTTATTTCAGGGTATGACTTCAGTAATTATATTTTAGAGAAATTTATATTGTTTTATTATCAGGCATTGGCTAATGGGATAAATGTGTTAACACAAAGTATTACCATTTTGGGAAGGAATGAATTGTTAATTCTTCTGTTTATAGCTGTGTCATACACGCCGTTCCAAAGAGGAGAAACTACACCAGATCATCATGCATCATGGCTACTGACAGTGCTATTAACATCATAGTGATTATAATCAGGAAACTCACACAGAATATTGCTTTGGGAAGGAGAAGAAACTTATCCTGGATCATTCTGCTAATCCACGAATATTGTGAATCATTCTTCAGGAAGATTTGCCACGGCACTGATCCTAGTAATGAACATTGCATCACTTATGGTATAGAATCTTCAAGCAGAATCTGCCATGGCGCTGATTTTATCCATGAACATTGCATCACTTATAGTAGACAATCTTCAGGCTGATTTGCAGCGGTGCTTATCCTAGTAATGAACATTGCATCATTTATGGAAGCCAATCTTCAGGCTAAACTGCTATTTGCCTAGCAACGGGCATTGAATCATTCACGGTTGTTTTCCTTCAAGCTTAGACAAAATATTCTGTCATGATGCTGTGTCTTACTAGTCATTGTCTGTTATCAGCTTTTGCTTCTAAAGACTGCACTCTGAGCTCAGTTGCTTAAGAATCATGATCATTTTGATTTGGAGAATCACAGATGTAATTCAGTGTTGTTTAGTTAAAGGGCCTGGTTCCTGTGAGGTTATGACAGATGCTATAAGAAGTCTTCAGTTTTCACTTATAAATAGCAAGTGTGTCCATATGAGGCAAATAAGGGCAAAAACTGTTAAACAAAAACTTTTTACATGCCGATTGTATGTGATATTTTTATAAAATTGATTTTATATCACAGTCCTTCGTGTACATTATTATCCTTTTTGTAAAGCAAAATGCTTGAATGGTTATTTTCTGCCGATAAATTATGTTTATGTGCATGCAGTTTAAGTTTTAAGTTAAGTTTTCACTCTTGAGACAAATATTTGTGGAAAAAAAATATAAGATAATAATTCAGTAACTGGTAAAAAAAATACAAGCCCCTTTGGCCTTTTTTAGCCCACCATCAAATAGATGGTGGGTTATTCAAATCGCCCTGCGTCCGTGGTCCGTCGTCCGTCCGTCCGTCCGTAAACAATTCTTGTTACCGCTATTTCTTGGAAAGTACTGGATGGATGATCTTTCTCAAATTTCATATGCAGGTTCCCCTTGGTCCCTAGTTGTGCATTGTACCTTTTTTGGACTGATCCGAAATCAAAATGGCTGACAGGCAGCCATCTTGGATTTTGAGAGTAAAATCTTGTTACTGCTATATCTGGGGAAGTACTGGATGGATCCTTCTGATATTTCATAGATATTGGTTTCCCTTGGTCCCTAGTTGTGCATTGTACCTTTTTTGGACTGATTTGAAATCAAGGTGGCCCACAGGCAGCCATCTTGGATGTCGACAGTAATACAGCACAAGCATATTATCCATTATCCACCTGTAACTGACTGCTATCTAATAATACTTTGGGATCTTTTTCAAATGATATTTGCTAATAGGTGCTTAATAAAAATATCTTTCATTCAATGAAGACCAGTTCATGAACATTTACAACACCTGTAACAAACAAAAAAAAACCCAAATCTTCAAGAACTGAAAACAGATCCTCAAATGGTGGGCGCCAAGATCCCTCTGGGATCTCTTGTTTAAGGATGTGATCTGTAAATCATTGCTGTTTTACAGTTGAGAATGTGTTTATTACTTCCCTGTTGAGTTTGTCATGTTTACGTATTCATCATGTACATTTGAATTCCCTACTGATCTGGTTCAATCATGGAAATCATTGCTGCCAATGAGTGACAGCATGGTGAAGTCTTTAAGATATCCTTGGAGATTTAGATGTGGATTTTAAGGTGAATTTCAAATTAATGTTAATAGATATGATCAGGTATGAGTGAATTTATAAAGATATTTGTTTTACAAACATCATAATCCTCTGTAGAACTTCAGACTTTACTAATATGTACCTCACATTCCAATCACAATTACAATTTGTATTCCACTTAACCTAATTATAACCCAACACTGAAATTAAATGTACTGGTACACCATCTGTCTATCTTCTCTTTATATTTCTACGTGTGACAGTGAAGGATGACATGACCTTATTTAGGGAAATATGTTCTACAGTCTTTGTTGAGAATTTCCTGTTGTATTAGGTGCAATGAAATAATACTTGCATTTAAATACATACACTCTGTTCTTTTGTTTTGAATAAAATTTCCGTTCAGTACAAATATCAATTTCAGGACCTCGGGGTTCCTCATGGGGAGGTGGTAAAGTTTACTATATTTTATATAGGAAAACTAGATTTTTTAGCATAATTTGTTTGATTTCTATTGGAAATATTTCCAACTTGGTTAGAATTATAAGTGAAGGATGACAGCTTGATGGTATGCTCATTTTGATCCTGACTGACACCCAGGGGCTGATGGGCGAAGCCAAAAGTGGTCAAATTGACTAAAATTTCAAAAATCTTCTTCTCAAGACCCAGATATGGTAGAATCACATACTCTTCATAAATTGAAGCATCTTAAGGTGCTTTAACTACCAAAATGAGCCTCAAATTTCTTCCTGGGGAGGAATATGTTTTTTAGACTTTACTGAAATTTTTCATTGAAAAATTGCATTTTTGAGCAAATCGTTAGTTATTAAGTTTAATAAGAGTTATCAGTATATGATTACAGTTTTGATGGTATGCATGTATTGACACTGGCTTACTATATTCAGTGTCACAATTTCTTGATAACTCTCCTTTGACCTTTATGTTCAATATTGCTTATCTCAGGTGACCATCAAGGCCACTAGGTCTCTTGTTAAATCAATTTTTTTATAAGCTTGGAATCTGTTACAAATTCTTCTATTTAAAACATTCCAAGACTGCTAGTTGTAACTTACTTCTAAAAAGCAAATTAACTTGATTTATTATACTTAAACATCCAAGAGATTGGAATCATTTCAGAAATCCACTAATAATCTTTGCAGTTTTGGCATCAATTAATTGGTTTCCAAAATAAATTAATTTTTTATTATTTGCCCATCACCAGTATTAGTGTTCTGAGCAATATTTATTGTGCAATAAAGGTTACACTGCAGGCTACAAAATTCAGTCCATATTAACTTTGAGATGTTAATGTTGTGTGCATCAGCTGCTTCTACTGTTCAGTGACAGCTGTACATTACACAGATATCAGTTTGGATTAGAAATACCTGGGTAATGCTTTATTAACTATACAAAACATTGTAATCTTGTATATTGAAATTTGATTTGAAATATTGAAACCAAGATCATGTCCCTTCCTACGTTTGTATGTCATAACTTTATGAGAAGTTCATACTTTTGTCAAAAAGGTTATATTGCCTGAATGTTAGAATAGACAGTGTGCTGCTTGAATAGGCCTTACGTCGGAAATCATTTTAACATATTTCTGGGAATTATTTTTTTTATTTTATTACATTCAGAGCTTAAGTGACATAAATAATAAAACAAACAGTGATATACAGGATTAACAATCAGTGTATTTTCTGCTATGTTTAACCACAGTGACTTGAATTACTACAGATATTTTTTGCACAGCGAACACAGGGGACGGAGATTCAAGTTTCCTAACTAGTGGAATATATCACGAGATGATATGTCTACAATATTATTTATATTACCGGTTAAATTGTTTGTGTATCCATTGTACTGTTTGATTGTGTTGCGCATGGTTGAATAAATACTGTTTTTTCTATACTTTTTTATGTAGAGTTTTTATTGGAGAATTAGGTTGTTTTAACCCACCATCATCAGATGCCTCCTCCGTGGTCCGCCTGTCGATTCGTAAACAATTTATGTTATCACTAATTCTTGAGAAGTACTAATATGTAGCTTCCCATTGGTCATTAGTTGTGCCTATCTGATTTTGAAACTGATCAGGAAAAAAAATGCTCAACGGGTCATCTTGGATTTTGCTGAGTAAAATTTGTTATTGCTGTTTCTCAAGAAGCACTGGATGGTTCCCTCTCAAATGTCTTATGTAGGTTTGTCTTTGTCCATAGTTGTGCCTGTTCAATTTTGGAAGTAATCGGAGAACAAAAATTGGCCGACAGACGGCCATCTTGGATGTTGTATTTGCTATTGCCTTCATTTCTTATTTAGGTTTCCCTTGGTCCCTAGCTCAGCTTATCTGTTTTTGGGACTGATCAGAGAAACAAAATGGTCGACAGGTGGCCATTTGGATTTCAACCCTAAAAGTTCGTTATTGCTATTTGTTGAGAAGTACAGAATCTTTCTCAAATTTCATATAGGTTCCATTGGTCCCCTTAGTTGTGGCTGTTTGATTTTGGGTTTGATAAAAAAAAAACCCAAAATGGCAGACAGATGGCCATCTTGGATTTTGACTTTGAAAGTCATATGAAATTTAAGAAAGATCCATCAAGTATGTCTAAAGAAATAGCAATTAAATTTTCAAAGTCAAAATCCAAGATGGCCATCTGTCGGCCATTCTGTTTTTTCTGTTCAGACCCAAAATCAAATGGGCACAACTAGGGACCAAGGGGAACGGACATATGAAATTTAAGAGGAATCCATGTAGTACTACTTAAGAAATAACGATAACAAAAATTGTCAAAATCAAAGAATGCCACTGTCAGCCATTTTGTTTTTTATCACTCCCAAAATCAAAGAGGCACAGCTAGGGACTAAGAGGAACCTACATCAAGTACATCTCAAGAAATAGCAATAACAAAAATTGTTTATGGACAGATGGCAGGACAAACCACGGATGTACAGCATTTTGAATAGCGCACCATCTGATGATGGTGGGCTTAAAATGGACTGAATGGATTTTTGTCAAATTTATTATGTTGGTTCACCTTAGTCACTAGTTGAGCCCTTTCAATTTTGGACTGATCAGAACAAAAAATGACCAAGAAGTGGGTATATTAGTTGATTTTGACAAAGACAGCTTGTTATAGCTATTTCTTCAGAAGTATTAGCTGGATCTCTCTCTTACAAGGTTTGCTAACATCAAGTCACTGTTAGTGACAAGGATGCTGTAAACGAACCTATTTAAACAGTAAACAGTAATCTTATTTCAGCACTGTTCACACTTAAAAGTATTGAACTAGAATATAATTGTTCTAATTGCATTTTTCAATTGTTATTTATATGGCAACATCACAGATGCACTATTTCTTTGCGTTAATTTGCCAAAAATACACTAAAATTGGATGGTGCTAAATTAAGTTTATTTTTAGTAGCTAAATTGTGGTTTGGAAACATCAGTATGAGATGCCTTCTTCACTTTCAAGAACGATTGATTCACCAAAGCAATGCATAAAGTGTAAGTATTTAATTTCTTCATAGGTTTTCTTCTTTTGATATCAAACAATAACATGAGTGCAATATATGATTCACCTTGGGAGTTAAATGATTAGAACACGAGTCCAATTATTCCGGAATAAATTATTTATTATGATAAAACATTGTAAAATGTATGAATAAATTTCAAATATACATTAATAACAACAGTTAAAAGGCTTTTTAACAAATCAATGACATAATAAGGTTAAACAAGCGAACCCTGATGTCTGAGATTTGGTTATTAGGCTTTCGTCATAACCAACTAGTACACATCTTAATGTCAGGAAAGTATCACTTATACATAATTATAGTTTACACCCAAAACATTGCAGTACAAGGTACACGCACTTGACAATGACACTTAATTTTAAATAAGATGCTTTCATGAATGTTTTTCAAAACACTGAGAGTTTACCAGAGTCACAACATATTTCACATTTATTTCCTCACCAATATCATTAGTGGAAACATGCAGTAAAATCTTAATTCACCTAAACAATGACTTTCAAGTTTTGAGAAACAGAATTAACCAATTTTAGATTCACTATAACCTTTGAGTTCAAATAATGACCTGTGGCAACATCTTTCACCCTCACTTAAGAATTTTCATTGTATTTTATAAAGCCAACCTTTTGTTTTCTTTCCTAATTGGCCAAAGGAAAAACTGGACGAAAGTTTACCCGCAGCAAACATTTCCCAGTATAGAGTAGATCATGACATTATTTTTATTTGTACAGATACAAAGTCCAGGCAAGGAGAAAACACAAACATTTTACATCCATATTTTCTTAAAAAATTGCTTAAGATGTTACACACGAACCATGCATGTTATATCACTTAAGTATCAAGTAAGGCAACAAAAAAACAAAACAATGCTGAACTTAGGATTGAAGAAAACATGTCTTTTCTCATATCTGCATTATTGGAAATTCAGGTATATTTCTTTTTACGTATAAAATCAATGCCTTTAGCCATCAATGCCCTTGAAAACAATTACATAGAAAATATTTTGCATCAAAATTAGCTTTTGGCGACATGCTGTTTTTATAAATAATGAAAACATTTGCCATTTATAAAATATAAGCAAACGGATGTCTATTGATATTCCTGAATCTGACCATGTACTAAACTTATATAATTGCAGGTAAAATTGTCTGAAGAATAGAAATTTTCCAGATGATAAAAACATTAAAAATCAAACACATAATATCATCGAAACTGTGGATCTTGAAAAATCCAAACATAGTCCCAATGTTGAATCCCTGAAAAATCAATCTGGAGTATCAGAACAAGGGTTTCAATGTCAATCCTGACAGGAAAGAGATGTGTTTCTCAAAAAACATTTCTGATTTACTTATTAAAAATATTCATCAAATAGTTTTCTTCAGGAGAAATTTAGCACATATCGAAGGCAATATTGATGTGGTTTTATTATCTAATCCTTAAGTGAATATAGCATTGACCTAGTTTCAGCATACAACACTGAATGTAGGTGACCTAGTTTAAATACTATGATATGACCTTTTGTAAAGTCATAGCCTGAATATTGTTTAATCTACCAATCTTACACTGCTACATAATTACAGAATTGTAAGAAGGAAATAACTGTGTTATCAAATATACAGATTGTAGTCAGAATCTTCCTCATACTTAGGCTATTCAGCCTTATCTCTTCAAGGGCAAGGTACACCACAATATCATATATTTTCATGGGGTTAAAGTTTCATGGGCTTTCAAAACATTGCTGTTTCATGGGAAGTTAATTTCGTAGATAAATAAATCTCTATGGTATTTATTTACACAAATTTTAACATCATGAAAATATAAGTTCCCAACTTAAGAAATCAACAAAAATTCTTTCCACATGAAAATTACTAATATTACAGTATTCTTGCAGGTAATAAAAAATTCATTTTGGAGGTAATGTCATGCTTGCCCTATAATTTAACTAAAACCTTTTTCTTCTTTCATGCTGTGTTCTTCTGTATATGAACTAGCCAACTTTGTATCTAATCTAACACTGACAAAATGTCTCTTTGGCTGTAATCATCTAGGCACTAGACACAACAACTCAAACAGTACTGTAAAAACCTGTGTAATGTGTACACCTACTTAATGTAGATTGGTAAAATCATAATTGGTTAAAAAAAACTTCTGCTTGCATAATGTGCGCACCAAAAAATTCTGTCAAAATTGATCACTGGGAGCCAAGAAATAAGACCAATATTAATCAATAATGAATTAAATCCAGTCCCATCATATGTCTTAGTCCACACTCTGCATTCTAATATGTCAGTGCCAACTTTTGCTCATATTCATGAATACAGACATGTGCTCATGGCTTCTGCTTCGTCGTGATATCCAACATGAAAGAAAATAAATTGAAACCTGTCAATTTCAGAACAGTTCAACCAGATAATCCTGAAAAACCAGGATGGCAGCCTTTGATTTTTTTCATGAAAAAAAAATTGAAAATCCTATTGGCTAAGTAATGTGTACACGCCCAACTTTGGACAATTATTTTCACACAAAAAACAAAACAAAACTGTGCACATTACATGGGTTTTTACAGTGCTTAAGATTCCAGGTTCGTATCTGTTGGAACCTATTCACCACATTACAAAGACCTACACATAATACAGTTTGATGCACCTAGAAAGACTTCACACAATCCAGTGAACATGTTCAAGATACATTCTTCTGTCCCGGTGCAGAGGAAGAAATGCTCCCGCCTAGAAAAACAAAAGGCAGTAGTGATCTAACAGTTCTTATTACACAGTCACACGTCCTTGTTACAAAGTCCTGTGTATCTGCCCTCGCACACATCCAGTGCTCCGGTCCAGAAAGACTAGAGGCAGCTGTGAGCTAGCTTGGTCAGGAGACACTACATGATGTCTTGTTCTGACTGGTCCGTTGCTATAACAGAAAACAATCTAGCAATGATTGATCCTCATGCTGTCATCTTCAATGCCTGTCAGAAAAAACAGTGAACATTAATATCAAATAATCACAAAGTCAACAGAAGACCTTTATATCACATCAACTGAGATACACTGGATTGCTCTAGTAAATGCAAACACTGAAATATACTTTATAGCACTTTTAATTTTTGCCAGTGCCTTATATTTGCGTAATGTCGCAACTGGCATTAATAGTACCCATTTTCTAGAGCAAGTTACAGCCATAGAAGAAGGGAACAAGAGTGTATAGAATATACCCATGACAAAGTGACCAAGATGGAGAACAATCCTGTAGAGGAATACTAGACAATTGCATTTCAATAGTGTCCACATTTTACTGAATATCCAACACAGTTGTCATTCCATACAGTCAAAATACAACTTTACATTTTAATTGGTAGGAAGTATTCGACCTAAATAATGTTATACAGTGCACCCTTCATTAAAATCTCAACAGTACTTTAAAATTTTACACACTGCTACCCAATTTACAGAATGAGAACATCCGATACCTACCCTCCTTCGTTGCTGTTCTCGAGTAGCCTCCTCTTGGCTGGCAGCAATTGCCTGAGCCAGTAAAAGGTCATCCTGCTCCTGCTGGGTCATCCTAAGGGCAAAGGTCAAGTAAGGTTAAGTAATGCTTTTGATGTGATTTCTTTAAGTTTTACACTCAGAAAATAAAGGAAATTTCATGTTTGTTCAAGGGCAACATAGGTGGGTGAAATTCTTTGTGTATCAAGGTGTACTTAAAAAGTTTAAGGATATATAAAATAACCACATATCTTTCATGTTTTGTTAAAAAAAAATTAAATTTATTGGAAATCGGCCTTAAAACATTTATCACACCTAATATAGATGAAAAAGGGGCCTGTTCAGCAGACGGTTTATAATGAAGTGTGAAAGTCATTCTTTTGGGAGATTAAAATGTATATGTATACATTACAGTACATTCTTGACATGGCTGTAGATGATGTACTTGTGTATGTTGGGTTGTACAGAAGGTATATAAACTTACGGCCTGTTGGAGGTACTTGAGTTGGAAGGTGCTTGTGAATCTGACATGGACATTTGAATGGCTCTTGCTAAAGCTTCTTCTTCTGTCTATAAAACACCAAGCATTCAAGACAATAGAACAAACTTCTACATCAGAAGATATCAACAGAACTTAAATACTAGTAAATGTCATCATTTCACTGTGATAAAACAACTGTATTCCAAAGCCACTCACCATACTACCCTGTATGGAATGACCGCCTGTCTGTTCCATCTGCCTTTGTCCAATCTGTCGTTCTCGTCTCTCTCTACACAACATATATATAATAACAAATTTTAAAACAACGATTTCAGCAATCACCGTGTAAAACACAACACACCACAAGGATTGATCTCAGCAAATTGTTACTAGTTTTACAAATTTTTCCCAACATATTTTCAAATCATCAAATCTTGAAAAAGAACAAGAGGTCAAATGGGCCTGCATCACTCACATGACGCGTCACAAATCACTAAGTGTAGCAATGAAGAATGTAGTATTTTGCGGTATCCCTACTGCTAACCAATTGTGTAGAGAATCACAATTAAAAATTAACATTTACCTGTCTAGGTCTCTGCCAAAGTTATGCTGTGTAAGTGTAGTTTGCTGCGGCTTGGCCTTGGAAGGCACCGCTCTTTTATCGCCTAATGGTTTGGATGGCTCTGATTGGTTTCTGAATATAGCTGCAGCTCTGAAAATAAACACCATAAAATAAAATGCACTTGAATGTCAGGCACACAAATTTACAACATAATGCTGAACTATGCTGTGATTTAATCTCTATTTGGGTCAATCCATACTGCTGTCAGTTTGTGTTTCTCAGGAAGCTGAGATATCAGAGAACATCCACAGCTGTGTCAAGTGACAAGACACTTCACCGCTGTTACTTCAGATAGAATGTGGTAAATAGGAATAAAGAAAACATCACACTACATACATCTTAATAGAATATTCCAGTGGTTTGATCCGTACGTAACACCACATTGCCAAGATATTTTACCCTAATCGCTTACAATAACATGCAGTTTGCCTCCCACATGTTGTTGAAGCAACTAGTTAATACAAGGAGAGCTTTTCATTGAGCAATTAATCAACAATCTGACAAAGTGCTGAAAACGCTGAAAGGCTAAACGTGCTGATTAAACATATGTAAATTAAATATGAGATTTAATCCATCACACACAAGAGAATCATCACACTTTTATAGAAGATGGCTATCAACAGCCAAATTTGAAATTTTAAAGGGAATATGTGGTTAGATTTCATTATTTTTTCCCATACGTTTAATTTCAGGCAAGCATTGCAAAACTTAAAATAAGACTATTCACAAAATGATACCACTCTCTGAGAGAAATTGATTATGATTATCAGCTTCTAACTGACACTAGTCATCATACGCTGTTGTGTCTACCTCTCATCACTGTTTTGATCGGATAGCCGAGTTCATCACATGACCTTTCAGAGCATTGTTTTAACCCGCCGTTTTAATATGACTTTTTACTATGATTAGCCAAAACTTAATTTGCCAGCCATGTTTCAAGTCTTACTTTATAAAAAAAGACCTCTTGTTTCACGCAATACGTGGGACAGAGCGGAATAAATGAATTTGAATTAATCTAAAATTGCATGCGCGAAAGACATTGTTCACACTCTCCAAACGATAATGATATGAATTAGAATTGGAGCACTCCTAATTTATTTTAATTCTTTGACCTTGTCGATAAAATGGTTATGCAAACTTTATATCATAATTAAGAGAAAGTACACAATTTCTAACAGATATGTAATTGTTATAATGCTTTTTATCAGTTATGAAATCAATATCTAACCATTCAAACTCTTAAACACATTTTTCATAAAATAACAGTAAGTGAAATTTGTGAAAAATGTACAAATCATGGAAACAATTTAAAGTTCCAAATCAAGAGAATTGTCACTGGCACTGGTATTGGCACAGACTTACATAGGTAATTCTGTCGTATTGGATACTGAACAAAGAACAAAACTTTACTACATATAATTAATGGTTTATTTTGCTACCATAAAAACATGCCAGTTAAGTTATCAATTTTTCCTGAAAATTTAAAGGGGGGAGAGCACACTATCTTTTCTGCAAAGTTTCTGCAAGGCTGCCATAAGTAATTGTCCAGATTATATGATAAGCAAAACTGACAAAAGAAGGATTTATTTTTGAGCAATTATTACTGTATATACTAATGCAAACTAATCAAGTCAACATCTCTCCAAATTGTCCAACCTACCCTGTCTTAGAGATTCCTCTGCCTGAATTCTCAAAGCCTTGGCAATCATGGTCCATTTCATTTCGGTGTTTCAGACAAAAATTCTTCTGGCATTTATCACATGTGACTGGAATAAGCTAAAACAAGAGGCAACATGGGCCTGTAGCACTCACCTGGTATATATATACCAACCAAATATCATTTAAGTCATTCAAATGTTTTAACAAATTTGACCCCTGTGACCTTTAAAATAGGTCAAGGTAATTTCTTTTCACAAAATTTGTTGGGCTTCATCTTGGAAACATACCAGCCATATATGACTTTAGGCCTTTTAGTTCATGAGAAGTTGTTTATTCATTTAAAGGTTTTGACAAATTTGACCCCTATTACCTTGAATATTAATCAACTTCTTCTCGCAATCTTTGTTGGACTTTATCTTGGTAACATACCAGCCAAATACTAAAACATTTGGTCCGTCGGTTATTGAGAAGAAGTTGTTTAAAGGATAAAGATTACAAAAGAAGATGCACCATGGCAAAAGCTCACTTGGCCCTTCAACCAGGTGAGCTAGCAAAAAAGTATGAAAAGCATACATGATATATTTTTTACGTCTAACATGAAAATATGGACCTAAAAGTTGAAAAAATATCTTTTTGATAAACCAGCAGTAATATATACTCACTTCCTTTTGTTTACAGCCTTTGCGTGAACATCTATTTGTATAAATCTGAAATTTCACAAAAAAAAATTACAAAATTTGAAATTAAGTAGTCAGCGAAGTATATAATTAAACATTGAAGAAAGGCATCTTTGTACCAGCAATGTGTCACTGCCAATATATAGTCTTTTCTTTTAACTTCTATACATTTAAAAGCAAGTTCTTCATTGCTAAGGTTACTGCTCATGATACATGCTTACTAATTTCGCACAACTAAACACAACTCCAAATAACTTTCTTTTTTTATCATTAAAATTATGATATTCTAACAACTTACAATTAACAAAATCTGAAGATTAATGATTTTGGGACATAGAGTCCTGTATGAATGTTGGATAACCTAGACTATGCTGTCCATTAGCTAATGGTAAAAGAATAGACAGAAAACCCCTATAAAAATCACTGCAGCATCATAAAGTTGCCCTGATACGAACCTTGCGTCTTTTCCTGGCAGGATCAGACTGACAATCATTATCAATATGTTGTCCGACTACCATGTCTGGCACCTCATTTTTTTTGATAGGTATTGGCTGGTTACATAGGGGGCATACTGGGACCTGGTTGTCCTAAAAATGTTTGAAATATACACATTAATTCAACATGGCCATTTTATCTTACCAGATTGTCTGATACATCTTTATAAATAGAATCTTGTCAGAGCAAATAATACTTGAATGTTATACCTTATTGAGTGATTAAAAAAAAAACATTTTAAATGGCCCTAATTTTTACAACTACCAGCATCTGTAAGCAGTATAGACAATATCACTTTACCATTATGAAACTAAACCTTGACTTCGCTGTAATCAAAGGACAAGACAATATCTGTTAAAACTTTCCTTTTATAAATAATTTTTGTTTATAGTTAAAATGAAACATGGTAACCCCTACCTTTTTATAGGACTCTGTACACTGATGGCAGTTGTACATTATGTGGTCTCCACTAAAAAAAAAATAGAAATACAATCAATGGTTGATAATCATTATACAAACCTGTCACATAGACAACAATCCTACACATCTTTGTTTCCAATACATATTTATAAATAACAGGTAGATCTGCAGCAGGTTTTAACTGTATTTACACAACTAGATATGATCACCTTCAAGTTTCATTCTAGAAGGAATTTCTGATAGAGTGATGACCCAGTCCAGTAATTATAAAAAATCTGGAGTCTTGGGACAAGTCCCAATAGGGGCATACTGAATTTCTTGTTGCAGTTTTGTTCAGTGTTCCCATTAAATGGCTGGTAGACGTATCCTTTTAATCATCATTTCTAAATCAGTTATTTTTGTAATAACAAATACATAGAATCTTACTTCAGGACCTTAGAACAACCCCTGCTTCAAATCTTAGTAAGAACAGTGGTCATTACATAGGCAATTTTGATTAAGATTGTGATCGCTGGTACATATCAACAAACCACAGAACAATACTCACCAAAAGATCTCCGCACACGCATCACATTTCATCGGCAGAAAATCTGGAAATATATATTACTCGTGATTACTCTTCCGTAAGTTAAATGAAAAGAAATCCTCGTTGGAGTCACATTTAATATGTTTAACAATATTGACGTTTTCACATTAATGTTTATTTTTACTAGAGACTGTTACCCCTGTTATCTCGAAATTGTTGGTACAGTTTACCCCTAACAATGTATTCAGGTAGGTTAGTCCCTGAACACGGGAGGCACAGATCTTGAGTTTTACGAATTGAGGAGGTTTGGTACCCCTTCAAGGGTAATGGGCAACGCTGTAGATATTGTTCAATGAGGATGGTCAGTTGATGGCTGGATGTGACGATCATTAGTTGGGTGATCAATTTTCGTAAGTCGGAATTACTCTTTAAATATTGTCAACTGTGAACTTACCCAGTTGTTTACAGGACTTATTGGAGCAATGAGTTCCTAAATGAGGCAATTCCATTTTCGCTAAAATCTACTTCAGTTCGGATAATGTGTCCGCTTCTTTTTCACCTTCCACTATGACAGTGACAGAGCAAAACTTCACTTATAAACACGGATATTTCGTCACTTCCGTTTTCAGCCTCTTCTTGAACATCAGGGGTTGGGTCAATACCAGACGACCATTTTTATAAGTCTTTTATGTAAAAACAGTATTTATACATTAAATATAATATGGAGTTATTCCCTGATTAAGAAATTATATTTGTATTACCTTACCACTTATTGCTGGAAAACAAGAGATATTTCGTCACTAATCAATTTACAAATATTTATTTCCTGATACGGCCCCTATGTTTACGGAAATTTCCTGAAACATCTAGCATATGTCCGACATCCTGTGTCCGTATAGGTCACTTAATGGAATGATTAGGTAATTTGCCGACCGCTAGCCCAACCATATGACTTAATGTTGTTGTTTTCAGGAAAGAAAATCGAAAGATAAACTGCATGTGCAAATGCATTAGATAAAAAAGACCCGAAGTCTACACTGCTATCTTTATCAGTCCGGAGAATAAACTATAAGTATGAACTATTAAAAAACTTCGAGAAGACTCATTGAATCTCCAGGCTCAGCATTTCATCACATGCATTGCATGCTTAATGCGTTTCCACACCTGCTTACGTCACGCCTCTCCTGGCTTTCGGTCTCTCCAACTATTAATTCTGTTGCTGGGCGTCGGCGCAAGCGGGTGTACGTATTTACTGTTGTCAAATAGAAACTGATCAGGTTGACAATGGTGCAGTAGTGTTGTGTATTTTTCGACTGTTTTCCTTGACTCTGGTGCATTAAAACGAAAATAATTATGAACTTTGTCCTGAGTTTCATTTCCTCTCCACACCGACATGTAAATTAACAAAGAAGTTTAATCATCTTACAACATATTAAACCGAATATTGAAAATTATATACATGAATAATGAATTACCTTTAATCCGCATTAATGAGCAATGTGAATGCCAACTGTGAAATTCAATTTGAAGATTTATCATTTGTCTATGAGGGATACATGTAATGATGGTTGTCAGAAAAATATCTAGGGGGAACGAGGTTTATATCTAACAATAACGTTATAGTAATAACAGATATCAAGAGATAAAGACAGTAATGATATAAGAATTTACCTATTTGTTTTGCTCCATCAAAGAGCTTAAGTGACAGAGCTTTAATTTGGAAATATTTAAAATATCCAACCTATAGACATGTATGACATTGGTGGGCTTTCAGATCCAGAGCGTTACAGACCTTGTGGGTCTCTTGTTTTTGTACACATTCTAAAAAGCCTGATGCTTTCTGCTACATGTGACATAATAAATGAAATGATAAGAGTGACTGATTTTTTTTCTTCTTGTTTTGTATTCTAATGAGCCAAAGACTGCTTCCTGAAATAACGTTGAGCCAAGACTTGTATGCATTGTAATTGTTATCACTAAACTGTCAAGGATTCAAGGCTTCCAGGATGATGGATTCTGACCAGTTGCATTTCTGAGTAATCATCTATCAGAGGGGAACTGTATTGTCTTTGGCCTTTTACATAAAGTGTAAAGGGAGGTACGTGTGTGGCACAAAGTATGGGTACTACTGAATTTGACTTCCAAAAAAGATGCCGAACATTTTAAAGTAAAAGAACACACAGTATAGAATTATTATTTTGATATTGTTAGATCTCACGTGGAACTTATGATAGGGCGTCCATGGTATTATGTGTTATTTTGATATTGTTAGATATCATGTGTGACGTATGATCGGGCGTCCCTGATATTATGTGTTATTTTGATATTGTTAGATCTCATGTGTGACGTATGATAGGGCGTCCCTGATATTATGTGTTATTTTGATATTGTTAGATATCATGTGTGACGTATGATCGGGCGTCCCTGATATTATGTGTTATTTTGATTTAATATTATTAAACATATCAATATCAGTTTAATTTTGAACCTGATTTAACTTTATCGAAATGATCGATCCTCTTGATGTAAATTTAGAACCCCAAATCGAAAACTTTCCTTAGGGTCGTGAAGACGGAATAAAGTTCTATATAATTAATATTACACAAATGTACTCTTGGATCGTGTATCTTCCATTATTAATGATGTACATGTTTTTACCGGACCTCTAGTTACACACGTTTACTTTTTGTACGAGGTTGCTGGAGTGAAGGAATAAAATCTTGAGCCAACACTCACGATTCGACTGTTTGTAGTATACATTATTAACTAGAGATCGACGGATTGTAGCAGACTAATACATCACACTGGGTTATAAATAACATATTCCAATCTTAAACGAAAGAAGTCGCATACCAAATATCATAGTTTCAAAGATCGAGTCTAAATGATCTTAACCGCTGGTGTTTTAAAGTAACCTTTATCTACATCACACTTTATAAAATATGTATATATATATATTTATACACAATAGTATACTTTCTTCTGTGACACGTATATCATGAATGCCAAAAAGCGCGATTCGTGTTCAGAGACTTGAAAATCACGTGCACGGCGCGTTGTGACGTTAGCTTAGACACCATATATATATGCGCATACACAAAACTGTTCAAATAGAAGAATTGAACCACCAAAATACGTAATTTGAACAAGTGACATACATGTATACATACATTTTATTTATTAATTTTAAGCCATAAAAGCAAATTTGGTGGTTTAAACAAGAATTTTTGACGCACTTTATTTGGTAATTATTTTGCAACAGTGTGAATGCGCGACACTGGTAAGCGGAAGAAATTTAGTCACGTGATCACATCGACAAATGAAAATCGTCAAGCGTTTTCGCGGGAGAGTGTGCACGGTCATTCAGAAGATAAAGACTGACCGTGTTAAAGGTGTACGTAAATGCTCTACTGTTTTTATATCCGATGCTAAGTAAAACTATAGGTATTTAGTCTCGTGTACATGTACCGACTGTTTATTGGTGTTTATGCTGATATGTTACCTTTTTATTGAAAATATAAGTTGAACTAAAGTTAATTATACTTTGGAGTATTTGGTTACAGACAGATTCATACAGATATTCAGATAAAAGTCAGATACTCAGATAAAAATCATAGGATTTGTAACTCAATTCCATAAAAGCGTAAATAGAAAGTTGAAACATAAATACTTCTACTTCCTGGTATTTCATTTTTCTCTGCATAGTCCATAATATCATATATTAGCCTTGTGTTTTCTCCTACATAACGACCTGAAATGAAGCTTGTGTGGTCAGAATTAATTAATGCACCTAATACTGCTTTTATTCTACTTGCTATACGACCTGATGCAACTTTATAGATATTATTTAATAGAGTCGCCAGTTCTTTAAAAATTGTCTCGGTTTTTCTCCTTTAGGTAAGCATGTTATCACTCCTTGTCTTTGAGTAACAGATAGTTGTCCTGTCATATAACCAAAATTGATGGATCATACTATAAAGTTTCCTAATTGTTTCCAAAAACATTTGAAAAATTCTACGAACCAAGACTTTTGTTATTTTTCATATTTTTGATGATCTTTACCGCTTCACTTACAGTAATTTTACCCTCTAAATTGATAGCTTCCTAAATATTTCGTCGTGGAACGTCAAAATCTTTTTAAAAAATCCTCTAAATTAACATCTTCAACTTCATCATCTACAGTATATAACTTTTCATAGAATGTTTTAACTTCATTCAAAATTTCCTCTTGTTTTGTTATAATCTCACCATTATCTTTTTCCATCTTTGGTATTATTTTTTAGGTAAAATTTCGATTTTCCAAACTTGAAAAATATTTTTTACATTTATTAATATAATAATTAAGTAAATGAGGTAATTTATGTAACTTAGGTACAAAAAAGAAAATATCACTCCAAACAGAGAACACTTTCTATCAGTATTGAACACAGCTAGTTATATAACTACATCGCAAAACTTTTATGATTGTTATCGATGATTGTTTATTTATTTTAATCAATTTCCCATCATTTTTGGGGTTTTTTTTATCTTAAAGTAATTAAAATCATTTTGTAGATATTTTGAAATATTGTCAAGTGTATCTAATGAAGTACTGAAGCAATGATTCTCAGACTTGGCATGCTACATCCCTGTGATATAAAATTGTGCCTTTCACTCTGTTAGCTTATGATTGGATAATTAGGTGTTCCAAAAACATTACCATGGAAACACTTTTTTTTATTATTTTTTTATTTTTGAAAGATTTTGACATAAGTGTACAAAAAGAAGAAATCTATCCATCCATCCATCCATCCATCATCCATGCACCCATTCGTCCTCAACGGCATAATCAGATGACATTCGATTATTTTCACAATGAATATGTACACATGCCTGTCATCACTATTCACCTCATTGCCATTATAATCACCTTCATTTCCATACATCATCATATCTCTTGTGCATGTTATTATCATATACAATACATATATGTCCTCCATCTAACTATTACATCCAGCACACACACACACACACACACGCACGCACGCACGCACGCACGCACGCACGCACACACACACACACACACACACACACACACACACACTAACACACACACACACACACACATAGTCACTTGTTCATTCATCTGCACCACAAGAAGACAAAAGACAAATACAATACATATAATAGGGTGAGAGATAGAGCGAGAGAGGGACGGGGGAGGGGGAGAGATAGTGAGTGGTCAGACTCAGGTTATCTTCATAAGGAGTAGTAATAGAATAGTACATGACGATGTGTTCACAAAATTAGAATTTCAAATTTAGGCGAGCTCAAAAAGTTTCATCCATTTCTTCCATTTATCATAAGACTTTTTAAGAGTCTTCTCCTTTACCATATGTGATATATTTCTGGACTTTATTGTACTCCTTAATCTGGTTAGCTAATACCATAACATTTAGGGAATTATGAAAACATCTGGTTTTATATATATATATATTGTTTAATAAGTAAAATAATTTCATTATCTATACCGTTGTAAAGACCTGTTTGTTCATATATTTCAAAAATCATATGTTTATTT